CGAGTATGATGCAACGGATAAGAGACCTAAATCAAGACGGCCAGTTAGCGGCCGGTGCCCAAGCGAGTTTTTGCCTTGCCAGAAGGGAAGAAGCTCGGTATATTCAGATTTGCAGGGACTGAGGACAATATCACTAATAGTAGCCGAAAATACTAACTTACCGACTAGACCATAAGCCTCCAGTCCGGCATCTTTCCTCACGGTGGGATCCGATGCCGGCGCCGACAGGGACGAGATCTTGTTCGTCTTGTAGTCAATCCGGACAGACTGCGGCTCGTAATTGCCATTGTTACGTCCTCCATTCCCATGCGGCTGAAGAATCAGACCGTCCACAGCCGCGATAATGACCAACTTGCGCAGCAAGCCAGGCATGTCGCTGGATAGAATTCTCAGTGGAAATGCGGAGCAAGTGTAACAACCCAGACTTGTGTAGGTCAAGAAGAGCAACGCTTGATATCGTAACCCAGGGTGTACAGCTGAGTTTCACAGGTATGCCAGTATGTCACAAGAGTCTGCATCACCAACGCGAGCTGTGTGACAAAAATCGCGTTGGGCGTGTGGTATGAATCGCACAGCTGACCTTGCGCGTACCCGACCCAACCCACCTTTGCCCGGCGGGAGAAGTCTTACATCATACCTAGGCAACCCCAGCGCTCGAGCGACTTGCCAATTGTGTCATACTCTCCTATCAAGTAAACAAACTAGCCATCATTGCGTACGTGAGTTCGGATTCTTAAAATAATCAATGCTTATGGCATCGATACAAGGTCTATCCCAAAGTCGACACAAGTGCGTATGTACAGTTCTTGTATCGGCACGCGACCAGGCGGGCTGTTCGCCGAGCCAAGGTGCAATTATCCAAACGAGTATCCAAAGAACATCCAAATCAATCATAAGCAGCCCTTGACCCTCACCCTGGTATATCCTGCGCTTGTAGAAAAGTAGAAGTACAGTTGCATCCCGCGACCGTAATGAAACCGAGTTAGATTGCGGCAAAAATAACGGATGAATCGAGCTGTGAAAACAATGAAACCGCAAGTGGAAGGAAGCGTTACAGAAGTGTCTTTTTTGTTCGTAAAGAAAGTAAAGACCGTTGGAGAAGATAAGAAGACATTTATGGTGATTCGTAACGTTCTATCACTCGTCATGCTTATTGAGATGTTGTGTGGTGCGATCAATATCATCGCTTCGTTTATAGGTCGGCCCCGGTTCTCCGTCGCTTTCCTCCGTCAACTCTGACAGACCGAAAGCCTGATTCTCGACATCGTAGGAATGCATGAGCCCTTCGCGGTCCCCATGCCCATTCATGAAAGCAAAGCTAGATGAACGACGGTGTGGCTCATTGCTCCGGCGCGATTGCATAGATCGCCGGGTCTGGAAGCTGGCAATGCCATCCGTAGGCACACCTTCATCATCCAATTTCGAATTAAGCATGTGTCGTCCGTCGGGATCATGCCGCGAAAGGTTCAAAAGGTATACGCCGGAGAAGATTGTGAGGAATCCGCAGAGTAACGAGATGGTGTTGACGGCATCACTTGTATTGAACCCCTTGAAGAGAATAAAGGAGGCGCATAGCGTGGCCGTTGTAAATGTGACGTAGTAGAGAGGATTGACACTGATGAACACCGTTAGCGTCAGGGCTTTTCTTCATGGAGTCGCAGGAGCTTACATGGATGTTGAAAACTGATTCAATGCCTTGTTAAAGTAGTTCATCTGTGTAAGGATGCAGAAAGCCGTGACGATCAAGAAGACGTATGTTGATGCATGTGTGAATTGGTTGTTTCCGTTGAATGTGAGTTTCAGAGCGATTCCGAAGGCCTTGACGGACATGACGGAGACGGAGCCCACTGTTGAGCAGATAGAGATGAAGATTAAGGGGTTCTTCTTTCCATAAACTGGCGCCACTCGGTAGATCATGACCGTCGAGAAAATCGCAACCGCAAGGCAATAGATAAGGAACCCTAACAAAGTGACACGAGTTTAATTCATTGTACCCAGCTCGACGTCGAGAGAAAGGAAAAGGACGATGTTCATGGGACGTACCTGGCTGGATCGCATAATCGAGGATCTCGTCAACCGTCTCGACTGGTTTATCCGGCGGCGCATGCAGAACGATGACAACGGAGCCAAGCAGACACAAGGCGCAGCCCAATTTCCCCAAAACGCCAAGTCTTTCATGCAGAAAATAGGACCCAAGGACAGCACTTCGAGAGAGGGAGGTCAGCCAGGCGCAGGAGGACTCAATCCAACTCCAGTGTTTCTTACCCAATCAACACACTAAGCGCACCAAGCGGAGTGACGAGAATGGCGGGCGCAAAGGCATACGCAGCGAAGTTGGCAACTTCCCCGATGGCCACTGTAGGTCTCCGTCAGCTTTCCATCCTATCCCTTTTGGACGTAATCGCATTCGTACATGTAGTGACTCCACCCCACCATATCGGACTTTTGAGGTATGAAAAGCCTTCTCCTTCAAATCCATGCCTTTCCGAAGCGTGCATTAACCCCTGTATGCGATCAATCAGTTATGTCGTTCTATGTGGCAGTGGTGTCGTCGACGGGCGAATCGGGGATGAGGTCGGTTTGCCGCGGGCGGCAGGCGAGGCGAACGAACCTTCTTTGTGATAACGAAACTTGTGCCTGGAAGAGGTGTCAATATGAGGCGAAAGACCGTGGTAAGAGAACAGAACACTACATACCGATAGCCATTGTTGACAGAATGGCCAAGAGCAGGCCGACATATCTGCATCCCAGGGATCAACCTGTTAGCGATGAACTGTCCTGATGGACAGGTAGTGGCGGCAAGCCGCGCGGAGTAAAACCATACTTCTCTGGAAGCATCCTAACGAATTTGCAGGAGCTGATTGCTCCTCCTCAATTAAGAATCCCAATGCGAGAGAAAATTGGAGAAAAGTTCAAGTTGAGGTCAACAGAGCACCGGAGGGTTGAAGCATCAGGAACGCGCCAACAATGACAGAAGACGAAACCGCGGATCAACAGAACAACACGCAGCAGAGTAGCGAACGAACGGATAGAGGTAGTAGAAAATTTGAGCCAGCCCAAAATTTCTTCTCTGCAGGCTTATTTTTGGGGACGATAGATGGTCGAGAACTCCCTGCGATGGTAGAGAGAGCTTTGATTGAGACTGGCTTCCTACAGTTTGGTGTTCCAGATCTCGCTGGGCTTGGTGCCTGCACTCGTGCGGTGGGGTTCCTCCAAAGACGGAACCGGGGGCTGCGCTTGGGATTGACGCGTAAGAGGCAAAGCCGAAAGGTCAAACGGAAATAATAATGAGTTATGAGGCGAAAATAAATTCGAAACAACTGGGCCATAAAGGGTTGAATCTCAGTCAAGATCAAAGAAACTATTCAAAGGTCGATGATAATTGCATACAGTGTCCATTTACAAGAAGTCTCAGTATTATGAACAATGTGATCGGCATGACCCTAGAAAAAGGTACTTCGTCCTCCACTAAAAGCCGGTCAATAAAGTGGTATTATTATTGCTGGAGAACCATTCTATCTAGGTACCAAACTAGATCATAATACCTATCTACTGCTAGCACACTGCATATATACTACTACTCAACATGCATGAACTCGATAAGCTTGAATGGATCGAGAATTGCGTAGTCTAAGGCCAGGAACCTTCATATAAGACTGTTTGTACTCCGCACAGCTAACATACCTTGTCGCATTAGAAAAGGACAATGGTGTCCTTTCGGTATGATTATTCACATTATTACATTTTACTGATTATCCCATTAGGTCCCTGCACAATTATGTAACTAATCAAATCAGCTAAATACAGAGTAGGTCCCGTCGTTATTCAAGCCATCATTATCTATTTATCCAATCATCAGCCTGTTTCAGTGGCCGTTTATCCAGTTGAGCCCGTCCTGTGGCCTCCCCTGGCTGCGATCGGCGTTTCAACCGCGGGCTTCTTTCGAGGACCTGAAATAGCAAAATTAACATGGCCGCTAAAGTGCTAAGAATAACACTCCGTGCACTGTGCCGAGGTGCATAACTATGATCATCATGGACATGATCGTCTTTGGGACCATTGTCCATGGTCTTCGGTAATAAAATGGTGTCCAGGATTTTCTCATTAGAATTATTGCCATAATCCCCTTACAGAGGAGATCTTTCAGTGCGTACCAGCGACCTTGAAGGGGACATCAATATCATCCCCTTCTAAGCCCTTAGGACACAGATGCAAGGACAAAAGCGCATTATCAACTACTTGCGGCTGTCGACCGGGGGAAGACCACCATCAAACACCATTCATGAGCAAAGAGATCAAGAAAACTCCATTAGACGCCGGCAAATCTCTAGGTACTATGCCTATGGAAAACAGAGCGCAAGACAATTATGAGATTCCGAATAGAACATGGAAAGGATTAAGCATATCATTTTGTACCGTCCAGGATAGCAAAAACGGAGTAAACCATAGCACCGAAACACCATCACGCCGAGCTAGATGCTATCGAGAAAAAATAAAGGTCCTCTGTTATAGACATGTGCACAATGGCGGAACCCATGCACAGTGACCCCAAGAGCGACCCATGAGTCGAAGGTATCATCTTGCATGCCAAAAGCCACGAAAGCAAAATGCGAGAAACAATATGCACTTCAAAACGTAGGAATGATATCACACAAACCTGACGTGGCAGACGAACCTGGCTTGCCTTCGAAGCAGGAGAATGCAGTTCGGAATACACTCGAGAAGGTGGGTGTACTCGAGTAGAAGCGTAAGACCAGAGTGTTACGTACCTTGTTACAATAGCCTGCCGAACTCTCCATTGTCGGGCAATTCCCTAGACTGAAACGGGATGGAAATACCAGAGTATATGGCCGATATGTGATCGACTCCATCGCGAAACGAACCGCTGGTTTTGCTAAATATGAGTATGTTTGTTAGATAGGGGCGTGAGCTTTTGAATGAGCTCAGGGATGGCGGGGACAGGAATGAATGAAGTAGAAGTATGGGAGCATCTAGGGGTATCACGAGGATCGAGAGCGTTTGAGGTCGGGTGAGGGATTCTCGGCGAGATCAAACTCGTCTTCCGGGTCGCGGGATCGTTTCGAAGCTCCGTTATCTAGAGATTTCAAGCCGGAGACCGGGCTTTCCTCGACAGTATCGGGACCATCGGCAAATCCCAAATCGATATACTCTTCATCGTCGAGCGGCAACTCATCGTCATGCTGGTGGAGAATTTCGGCTGGAGTATCGTCCTCGAACTCATCATGATCCTCGCCAAATTCAGTAGTGTCGCCGAGATTCCCATCCTTGTTCTTAGAATCTTTGGAAGGACTCTCGAACAGATCTTCTACGAAACCAAGCGCAGCATCGGCAGGATCTGGAGTATCACGTTCTTGTTTCTCTGGTACCTGCGAATTCGGAACTGATTCCGAATTCTTGTGCAGATAGTCGCCGTCACCAGCCCTGGAACTCTCCTCCAGACCGTGACTATGTCCTTCAACATTGTCGACAGCATCGTCAATTGAAGAACCACCATGGCCCGCCAACGGCTGTTCTGTGCGATAATCTTCGACGACAGGGTTGAGTGAGCCACTGTCTTGTCTCTCATCATCACCAACCCCAGGACCCTCAGGGACTTGCAGCTCCACAGGACCTTTCCGTTCGGGATTCTCCTCGTCACTGTTCTCGATCTCAGAATGTTCATTCTCAAGGTCACGATCTGTCTGGTCATTATGCACTGGACTGGCAGAGCCATCTTTGTCTTCCAGCTCATCGTTCATATCGGCTCCAGGCAGATGAGCCATAGTAACAGTTGTATCTGTCTGTTGCTCTTCGGAATCGTATGATTCTTCGTGAGCTGCCTCTTCGTTACCGGCGGTATCCTTGTCAAACTCGGAATCATTGGCATCTTCAACCTCTCCCTCCTCATTCAGTTCGTCCTCTTGGACATTGGTGGACGGAGCAACACTAGAGCTCTGCGTTGCCAAAGAAGCCGTGTCGTTGCCTACGAGCTCCTGGGCTTGAGATGCCTCTCTATTGTCCTGTATATCATGGTGAGACTCAGCTTCATCTGATGCAGCCTGAAATTCGCGAGCATCAACGTTCTGGATGGTCGTTGGGCGGTTCGGCGACGCGGGCTCTTCTTCTTGGCCCTGAGCTTCTCCTTCTTCTTCTTGATCATGAGCTTCTCCGTCTTGGTCATGAGCTTCGGAGACCTCCCCGAGCTGTTCATCAACTTCCTGGTAATCATCCCACAAATTGATCTCGGACAGCCCCTTTCCTTCGCTCGCAGCTAGTAGCAGATCTGAGATTTCCGCTGGAATAGTCAACTTTGTACTCAAAGTAAGATATAGCGGCTCTGGGGAATCGATTCCGTCATTGTGGCAGAGGCGCAGATAAACATCGATAACCTGGTGTAAGGTCACCTTCGAGACATGTGTGGAGTCCTGTATCAGAATATTAGCACTCGTTACCAGAACAGGTACATGCGTGGGACACTCACCTCCATGAGCTGTAAATTCAAAGACTCGATGTCTAGCACGAGAATTTCATTCTCTCCAACATGCTCATAAAGGACCTCGCGACAAGACTCGAAAAGTTTACCGAGGGGTTCGTAAGCAAGGCTTTCATCTTCGAGAAAAAAGGTCTCCGAAGAATCACCCTCGTGCGGGGGAAATAGCGAAATCTCATTGTCCTGATAATAGACCTTCACAGGATGCAGAGTCACCTGGCCCGTCGTATGAGGCCCATGCTCCGACCCTTGTTCAGGCCCTTGCAGGCTGAGATCCTGTGCTGCTTGCTCTTCTGTACCTTCATCTCCTGCTGCAACATGCTCCACAACAGGCTCTGAAACCTGGCCAGCGTGCTCGTCGCTGCCTTCGTTATAGTCATCAGCGCCCTCCGGATGATCTGGATCCGGACCAGTCTTCCCGGCATCAAGAGGGTTTAACGCGGAATCTACTTGATCTGTTTCGTTAGTGCTGTTGATCATATCTCCTCCGGCGATTTCAGGCTGATGCGCATCAGGGGGTTGATCGGTGTTGTCGTTGTGCTGATCGAGGGCTCCCTGTAATTCATGACCAGTTTCGTCGTGGTGCTCGGGTTTCGCTTCAGGATGAGCCCCTACCGCAGGCTCCTGAGCATAGTCTCCAGCGACGGGATTTTCCGCCGACTCCCCTTCTTCTGTGTCTGGTTTATCTGTGTTGTCACAAACCTGGACTTCCTGATATTCGGGGCTGCAGCATCGGCATCATCAACATATTCATCTTCCAGCATTTCTTCCTCATGTGACTCCCCTATCCCGTATTGCATCTCTACATTGTGACTCGCCTCCTGATATTGATCGTCAGCGTCGACCATAGTTGGTTCGGCGACGTCATCCATCATATCGGCATCTCTCGGTCCATCTTGGTCTATATCCTCGTCCTGTAATGTATCCGGGTAATCGTCGGCTGCAGTCATATCCTTGTCGGCATTTGAGGCGTGGTCTTCCATGACATCGAGGTCAATGTCAAAGTCATCCACATGACCCTGATATGGAGAAGCCATCTCCATCGTGTCATCAAGACCAGGGACTTCCATGTTGGAAAATGCTAGTGACGATGCAGTGGTCATGGCATAGGTGTTTGGAGTGTATTAAGGTCTCGCGTTGCTAATACTGGTACGCGCAAAACTTTCTCGGTGGCGCCTAATGGTCCGTGAGGCGAGAAGGCTGAGTGAGCCGTCAGAAAGCCACTTCTCTTTTCAAAATGAGATATATGTGAAATAAATCTTCAGCCAATCTTGATTATGGCTGGTTTGTATCGCTCAAGTGAAGTAGGGAGGGTAAAGAATGAGGTCGACGATGATGGATTCCATAGAAGGACGCAAGCAGAGAAGCTTCTTGTGCTGCGGTAAGCGAGGGGGTAGCGCGGTGCACGGACCAACCGGGACGAAGAGAACAGCAAGCGACTCCGGCTTCAATGAGGCAGATATCCCAAACAACAACCCCCCAGAAGAAGCAGCCCTTCCCTCTACATAGCAACCATCGGTTTTGACATTGATACCCAACAATCGGCAACCATGGTGTGCTTACCTTTTCCTCATGTATCCAAATCTACGCTGACCGCAGTGCCCAATAGGTTGTTCTCGCAGCATCAATATGCACTCGGGGGGCAAGGCAGTGCTCTCGCGTCAATTCCGGGAGATCGCCCGCTCCAGGATTGAAGCCTTGCTCGCGTCCTTTCCAAAGCTCGCAGATTCCGGAACCCAGCACACAACCGTTGAACAGGACAATGTTCGCTTTGTCTACCAACCTCTCGACGAGCTATACATCGTCCTAATCACCAACCGCCAATCCAACATCCTTCAAGACATTGACAGCCTTCATCTTTTCGCCCAAGTGACCACAAGCATCTGCAAGAGCTTGGACGAGCGGGAGATTGTTCGCAATGCCTTCGAATTGCTTAGCGCGTTCGACGAAATCGTGACGCTGGGATACCGAGAGAATCTGTCGCTTTCTCAGATCAAGACATTCCTGGAAATGGAAAGTCACGAAGAGAGAATACAGGAAATTATTGAAAGAGTATATAACATAGTGGCTTTTGGGTGCAGCAGCTTGCTGATAGTGATGAACAGAACAAAGAGCTCGAAGCCAGCGAGGAGCGCAAAAGAAAGGCGAAGCAGCTGGAGATGCAGCGAAAGGAGGCAGCTCGCAGTGGCCGTTCTATGGCACCCAGGGCCCCATCCTATCCTGTATACACTCCTCCATCACGTCCTGCTGCTCCCGAAACATACGATACTTATGAGGCGGAGAAGAAGAAGTCATTTGCGAAGTATGCCTTGATCTCATATTAGCCTTATCTCTGAGAGACTGTTGCTAATCAAGCTCGTTTCCTTAGGCCGTTGCCCACCCGCGGAAAAGGCATGCAACTTGGCAAGAAATCCAAGACCACAGATATTTACGAGAAAGTTCGAGGTGACCTGGGCCCCGAAGTTGAGGAATCGAGTCCATTGGTGACTCCCCAAGTTTCGACGCCGGCGGGCGAGAATGCCCCCTCCGCTCGGGCCTCATTATCCGCCGACAGAGAGCCTATTCATATCACTATTGCCGAAACAATTTCTGCCAAACTTACCCGTGAAGGTGCCCTGAAGTCGTTCGAGGTGAAGGGCGACCTGCAGCTTCGTATTACCGACCCGTCTTTCACGAAACTCAAGCTGGATCTGCTGGCCAATCCTACACATGGCGCTCAATTCCGCACCCATCCCAATGTTGACAAGGCCGTTTTCACCAACTCCTCAGCCATTCAGTTGAAAGACTTGACCAAGCGTTTCCCAGCCAACAACTCGATTGGCGTCCTTCGTTGGCGCGTTGCTAGCTCGGGGTCAGAAAATGCTGATATTCTCCCCATCACGTTCACAGTGTGGGTGAATAAGGGCTCCGACTCAACCACTGTGACCATCGAGTATGAGCTCACGGGCTCGGATACGCTGAGAGATGTTGTCGTTTCCATACCGTTTGGCGCAACAGAGCCTACCGTATCTAGCTTCGACGCTGTCTATGAGGTCTCGGGGGATAGTTTGGACTGGAACATCGGTACCGTGGACGAGACCAACGCTTCAGGAAGCTTTGAATTTGAATCCGCAGGCGACGGGGACGAAAATGAGTTCTTCCCGATGAATGTACGCTTCTCCAAAGCCAGTCCTTTCGTCGAAGTAGATGTGACCAACGTCTCCCTACTCGAGATGGAAGGGGAGAGCACAGGATTCTCAAAAGACGTGAGAAGCATTGCTGAGGGCTACGTTATCGAGTAATCACCGTTTATTCCGAATTGTATAGAGTACCTTACTAATGACGTTCGGATCGCCTTTGAATCACCGCGTTTTCTTTGTTCTCTATCGGGACTTCTTTTATTATCGACTTACCTATTTATCCCAATACTATGACATTACAACTGGAAAACGAGATTAGATTCAAATAAAACAGGAGCTTGGTCGTTTGACCTCCCAAAGCTCTAACTTACATAATGACGTGGGGGTGCTTGGCTACAACAAATCGTGTGTGCTGTGGGCTTCTTCCACACTACTTGCTACTTTAAACTACCAAGTCAGAAATGCCTGCTTCACGCCACTGCTTGCTTCCCGTCAACATTATCAGGAGAAAGGTATACGCGTTTAGTAGCTTGTTGGTTCCTACCTTTCTGACAACCTTTCGTATTTCTGACAATGATCCTTGTCCAGTTGAACAATGTCGTCGATGCTTGATCATTTGACAGACGTCAGCATTATAATTCCCTCGAGTTCAACCATACTCTTGCAAGCCCTGGCGCAACAGGCTCAAATTGGCGACAATCGATCCACGGAATGTGTTAAAGGACACATGGACGCACTAATTGACAGCCGGTGTCGTGCCAGGCGTGGTCCTTGTCGCCCTCTCCTGCGTCTCTCGACTTTCCTGTGGGTTCCTTTTACATCCCTTCCGACAGTTGACCGTCATCACACTTTCAAGGGCCCATTATTGGACAGTCCTCCATGGCAGGAACCAGGGGTCCTGTAATCCATTTTCTCATAACCATCGCGCAATGACTCTCCAACGTCAAGTTGACAAGCATGGTGGGGGCGACAATGTCATAACAACACAGCTACGCAACCACCCCCAGTTCTCGATGGGACATGGCCAGTGTCTAACAACGATACACTCTCTTCTATTCGCGAGAGTTAAATTCCCGTCGAGACTCCGTCTCGACCGTAGTCGGCTGCCAATCTTTTCGGCCATCGCCGATTGAAGATCAACATTTGACGCTATCTACCATGCTATAGACGGCTTACTAACGTGTTTGGCTCCATCGGCTACGGATAGACAGGGGCAAAAGAAGCAGACAGGAGCTCAATCTGCTGGTCCAGCGAACGTTCCAGACTTCCCGGCTATCAGGGGATCCAGATACACTTGCATGCATGGATACCTACATCCAAAGAGAAGTGGCAACCACCAGCTAGATGCCTGCTGAGCGGCAACATGCGTGATGAGCAGCTGGAGTCTCTCTCCCACTCGATACATAGCTTGAAGTCAAACCGGTATGAGGCGTAGGAGGCAATGCTGAATCCGACCTCTGTCTCTACCTTATGGTTGCCACATTGCGGTCCAGGCTGATGGGGTCAAGAAAAATGTTGATTGGATTTCCAAGGTGCTTGTACTTACTTTCGTGCGCTGGTCTAGATCTACCAGATTTAGCTCCAATATCCATAATAAGGGACATTCCCTACTTTTCAGGTACGGGGATGTTCTCCACCTCGCACTTAAATTCCGGTCTAAGTTCTCGGAATATGGAGGATATGTGATTTGGATAAGATCTTCTCTTGCTGCTCATGATCAATGCCTTTCCCAAAAGACAACTGATGCTTGTTATCTGGCCATCTACCCCTCATCCTTCGAAGCACTGACGAAGAAATTGTCTAGGGCTCTCTGCTGCTACATATCTGGCGGTTCTGTGAGATCTTAACCGTCTCTGTTAGGTAAAACTGACATAATGCTTTCGGCCTGAAGCTCTACCACAATCGAAGCTTCCTTCAGAGTATATTGACCACAGGTACGTGTCAAAACATACTGCCATCAAAACGCAGCTACTGAAAAGTGATGCTCTCCTCAGACGTTCACGCCAATCCTTGCGAATCACAATGAGCGGCTTGCAGTTTCAACCTTGGACAGATCATTTCAAGTTGCCTTGTACTGACGAAGGCTTTCCTCAATTGCCTCAAGTGGCAAGTTTTCCCCCTTTCAAGCAAATAACCAATCAGCTGACTTATCTTCATGCAGGAGAATACAATCCCACGGCCGTCAGAGAACGAATCGGAAAGACTGGGCAGTCGAAAAATGGCAATTCCAAGATTGACCGAAGGAACTGAATCTGCCTTCACATCACCTGGTAGATTTCATCGCCGTCACGTACGGCGGGCATGCGAATCTTGCAGGCAAAGAAAGACAAAATGTACAGGAGATAAATCCGGATGCCGGAATTGCCGCGAGGCTGGGATCATCTGCTGCTATACAGATGGTAAACGGGAAAAGTCAAAAAGGTGAGCCCTAGAACAACCATTTTTTTCGATGAGACATATTTGATAACGTTCAAAAGGCAACTAGCGAGCCTGTCAGCTAAGGTTCAAGCATATGAAGACGTCATCAGAAAGCTGAGTAGTCGATTTGGGGTTTCCGATGAGCGACTGATGAGCATAGCCCTAGCAGCGGTATGAGTGCGCCCTTCTCAGTCACCTCAAAGTGCTAAGCGAGGGCAGGAAATGCCACTGGAACTCAACGTACAATCAGACATGCCCGGCACATCAATTGGTGAACAGAAGCCCCCATGGAACTCTGGGTCTGATCCGCCCTCCCCTCAATCCTCTGTCGGCCCCAACGAGGTTATAGACCACACCAAGGAGGATTTCAACAGAGATGAGGCTGCCCGGGCAACAGGGTATATGGGCAGAAGCTCCGTGATTGCTTGGCTACAAATGTTGAGTAAAGAAGTCAACCAGGAATGTGAATCCTGGCCTCCCAATTCTGATACGGGCGACGATAATGGCGTGCCATCTCCATCCTTGACCCCTCGACCTGATGGCCAAAGCGACCCGCTAGTTGCCTCGTCAAACTTCTACCTCGATGATCTGGACCTACCAGCGATTGAGCCGCTCGATGCAAGTGATATTCCTTCAAGAGACACTGCTACCAAACTTCTCAATGCATATCTACATTCAGTACATCCTTCTTTTCCGATCATCGGCATCTCGACATTCTTATCGCAATTCCAAGTATTCTTCAACCAGCCCCCAGTAAAGCCAGGAAAGAAGTGGCTGGCGATTCTGAATCTCATATTCGCCATTGGTGCAAAATATGCCCACATTACCAATGCGGAGTGGAAATGTGGCGAGGATGACGATCTCACATATTTTTCGAAAGCTAGGAGTTTGAGCTTAGAGGACGAACTCCTTCATCATCCTGATCTCCAGCAGCTACAGGTTGAAGGACTGGCATCTTTATATTTACTGGCCTCTGGCCACATCAATCGGTATGCCCTTGCCGCCTACCCGTAGCCGAAGCGATCTACTGCTGAATGCGACTATGCTGACATTCATATCCTTTCAGAGCATGGAAACTGTCTGGCAGTGCGATGCGCGGGGCCTTTGCTTTGGGGCTGCATCTACGCAATGTGGGAATCTGTACATCAGATACTTCCAAGGAGATCAGATACCGTGTTTGGTGGTCTTTGTACACCCTCGATCATCTGCTCAGTGCGATGACGGGACGGCCGTCGTGTATCGTCGATAACTCATGTACCACTCCCTTACCGGTACCGTTCGATGAGTCTGATTTTCAGAAAGAAGAGGTGGTGCGCATGATAGGTGATACATCAAGAGGCAACTCGAACCAGCTGGACCGGATCCCCCCAGTCTGTCCAAGTGCGTCTGACCTGAGCACTACCTTGGATGCTGAAACAACCGATGGAACGGCCAACACGAAAGCTTCAGGAAGTAGCATGGTTGAGTACTTGAAGAGTCTTCCCCCGTGCATGTCGTTATATTTCATTCAGCTCTCCACGCTCACTTCAATCAACAAGAGGATGACTGCCAAGCTATATGGTCCCGAGGCGATGCATTCTCCTTGGCCAAGCAAAGAATTCACAATTCAGAGCCTGATGCTTGAAATTGATTCGTGGTTTATGAACCTGCCTAGTGCTTACGATTTCACATCGACTCAAACGTCACAGTGTCCTGCAAGCCAAAGGATGAGCCTTGCTCTTCTGTTCTATAGCACAAAGATTGGTATCACGAGGCCATGCCTTTGCCGCCTGGACTCAACTCGTTCGCAAGGGGAAAAGACTTTTGATTTCTGTACCAAGACCGCAGCTGAGTGTGTCGAGTCGGCTTGCCACATGCTGACACTCCTACCTGAAAGCGCAGACGCTACTTTACTTTACAAAGTGTCACCATGGTGGTGCATTCTACACTATCTGATGCAAGCGGCTACTGTCCTGCTTCTCGAGCTTACTTTTCGTGCTCAACATGTCCCAGATAAAGCGTCAATAGTCTCCAAAGCGGCCAAAAAGGCCCTGGAGTGGCTGTCAGCTATGTCGACTTTTGATGAGGCCTCGGAAAGAGCTTGGCGACTTTGTGATGGATTCCTCAGGCGACTTGCACCGCATGTCGGTGTTGATATTGAGGATTTCCCCACCGCAGGTGATACTGCTGACGCTACACCCGATGCTCAGTTTGATGATGCGGAATATACAGCTGTGGGTAGAACAAGTGCCGACAATCTAGCTACTGAGCTAGATGTCATTGCATGCTCACCCATGAATGAACCAAACTCCCCTCTGCCTGGACCGATGGCATTCGAATTGGACTCGTCGGATCCATTCGACTTCCTGAAAACTGATAAATCAGTGTCAGGTCGCAATACGTTCGACGACCTTTTCCCATACGATGCAGATACAGGTCAGATCACAGGATCTTTCTTCCCTCCTGGAAACAACATCGACTTTGATCTGGGATGCTTCTGGGGCGACCCCATTTTTTGGAAAGATTAGCACCAGAGGAGTGGCCTACGTCAATATGAAAATACCAAGGATTGGGAGACCGACAAGATAAAGACGCATTGTTACAAGGAGCAATCATTATCAAAAGCATGTTAGCCAACCTTTCATGCGCATGCACCTGCGCATGACGGAGCTTCGGATTTTCTCATCATCAATCTTCGGAAGCGGCGCACCGGGACAACTCTCACTTCATAACATTGCATTTCTATCATCCGTTCCTTTACTTTTACTGCTTGCATCGCTTCAACAACCTGCTTTCTTTTTGCCATGAATAGAGCGATAGACGGATAGACAGATAGATATATTAGATCATGATCCTGGACTCGACGGCAGAGAGAAGAGATCCAGCAACAGTGATCAAGTCATTGTGTGACAACACTTCTTAAGAGGCTGACACCGCTGCCATATAGAAAAATAGCCACAAGGCACTGTATTATACACATTCATCTGTTGAAAAGGACGGCCTTTCCTGCTGTGCGCTATTATCTGCTATGTATACATCTCAGCAAATGATGTCCTCCTTGGTCTGCTCTCTACCACTAGCATTGTTCAATGAGCATAGCTAAGAGCGCCTCATTTTCAAAAGTGGTATCATTTTCACAAGGCGTGAGGGTGATGCAAAATGTAATCATTGGACCTTTCTAGCCCAGGTCGGTCTAATAACATTATGTCGTATACTGTCATGAAACAGTCATGCCAGTAATGACGTCGCCGGCAGTAATCTGTGTAAGAACGCTGCTATACATGCGTCACAGACTGTCAACACTCAAGCCTCCCAGTTTCTTCTCCTCGCGGTAAAGAGTAAACGAGCATTTTCTTCCTGGGTTCTCGGCCGTAGCAGGCCCGACGGCGTAGCATGCACAGCATTGATCTTCGAGAAGCGAACATCAACCACCGACGCTTTACGGCGCGCCCGATTGGCCCAGGATTCTGCCGCGAGTGGCCACTTCTTCTCGTCCCAGGACCGTATATCGGCACCCAGTAAGCCTCGACCATCCCCCACGAAACGTTCAATGCAGTCGAGAGGCGGCACGAAACGGCGACGAACGCCGCACCCCGTATGGTTCGCATCCAGCTGATAATCTGGACATTGTTTCAGGGACGATATGATCGACGTGATATCGGATGGCGGACCGGCCGCTGTGGAAAAAGGCTGAGGCCGTTCGGGGTGTCCTGGCCATTACCGTCTTCGTCCTCGGGATCGAGCGTGAAGTCTGGGTCTAGCAGACTTGATCCTATGAAGATGGTCTTTGTGCGTAGTGCGAAGAAGCGCATCATCTGGCCTAGATGGAAAGCGTCGCAGGCGTTGGAGTTGCCGAATCCGCAGCGGCATTGGAATTGACGTTGTTGGACTGTAGTTTGTGCTGCTGATGGTGTTGTATTGCTTGGTTTGGGTTCGTGTGGTTCTTCGAGTGCACCGTAGGCGCGGAGGAAGAATGCTTGTAGGTCTGTGATGGTGTTGAGGACGCACTGGCGTCTGTAGTAAAGTTCTTCTGTTATGGATATCAGCATCGATTCTCACGGAGCGACAGGGATGATATCTTCTTTACCTTCTATACCATTGGGAAGATATCCCCAGGGAGAAGTAGGAACATGACTCTCAATGCCATTGATCCAATACCTAGAACCCCCGACAATCAGAGCATGCGTTAAAACTTGGAACACCTGCGGATCATCCAAAAATCTGGCAATGAATATACTTTGACGAATACGATCCTCGTTGATCTTCAGCAACGAGGAATCAAATTTTGACAGGGAAATCTTGCCCTTCCCGTAAGCATATCTTGATCTTTGCAAGGCCTCTTTCACAACCTGTGGAGAATTCAATGCATCGCCTGTTTCAAGTAATCTGGCAACAAGAGAGGTCGGTTGAACTCTTAACTCGGCGTCAAATCCTTGCTTCTCATCATCTTCAAGAGACCTGTAAGACAGGATTTTCAAGAACAATTCAATGGCATCTGCCCCGAGCCTCGATAGGAAACGATCACGGGATAAGCTGATGGTTGGCAGATTGTGCTGTAAGCAAGCTTCACTGGCGTGATCTGATTGATCGTGCTCTTCTCCTTTCACTTCATGCGTCGATCTTTGACCATGGCCAGCCCTTTGCTGCATGAATTGCCGGCCCTCAGAGAACTTGTTGGGGTCGAGTAGAGCACGAAAGTATGGGCTGTTTTGTATTAAGTCTTGAGTGTCAACTTGCCAGCAATACTTATCAGCCTGAGATGAGCTTGAAGCAGATGATCCGGCGTCTGCGTATTCAATGATAACATCTGCGTGTTCGACGATGGATTTAGCATATTGCCGCGCTTGTCTCAGAGGAGGAGTTTCTCCATCTTCATGGTTGTTCGCCGTCGGCAACGAGCTCGCTGCTTGCGGGCCATCCGCAGCAAACTCAGCCACAGTATGTCGAGGCTGTGTTCGGCCTGGGTCTCCAGGCCCATCAGAGGAGGCAAGAAAACTATGGCCCCCCTTCATACTGGAGTATGTCGACTGATCTTTTAACCCAAAAAAGGTCTATAGAAAAATAGACCGCACAAATACAACAAAAGGGAGAGGCGCATCTGAATCACAGGCCCTCTAAAGCGCATATCCGAGCAATCGGGGTCTTGCTGGCTTTTGTCATGTTTTCGGTGACGATTGATGTTCTTGTGGGGAGCAGTGGCTTGCTATCTGGCATAAATTGAGAACATTCTAAAAGCCAGAGAGATATACTCTTGTCATATGGGAGCTTCCTTTCTAAATTTATATTACTTTGATGGAACAAGTGTCCCCAGAGAAATGCAAAGAATATGATCATTATCTAGGACAAGACGGAAAGTTGAGGTGGAAATCACTGTCGATAATTCGCCTCATTAGGCAATGAGTCACGTGATGCGTCGCGCTCAACTGCGTATACACCATGTTCTAGGATACAATCGGGTAATAAGGGCAGGAAAGACCAAGCTGTTCGGTAAAAGGGCCTGAAACACCAAAAGTAAACAAACGATACTCAGGTATTGACAAATTCTCGCTCGTACGATTACACAAGCTGTCCCTGAAATCCTCAAACGCCGCACCTGCTGCAAACTGTAAATTCTGGTCGTTAACGGTCTGGAAACATGAGTATCACGATGCATTCCGAATCTTGAGCCGAAGCTCTACCTGATCGAGACAAAAAAAAGAACATAATACTTGTGTTAGTATCAAGGTAATGATACCACGGGAATATGCAGGAGCTTGGGTGCGTCCAATGACCCCGAGCTCACACGGCAATCTACTGCATGCTTGACCGTTGCATCACGTAATTTGACCGCCTGCCCGACAATAGCATGCAGCTTTGTTGCGATTGGGCTCATGATCCTCGACGGTAACTCCGGAGCCAAGGGAGTTGTGGGACTCATTTCCTCGTCGCTCTCATCATCGTTTTCTTCTCGGCCATTGAGCACGCCGTTCTTGTGAGCGATCATGGAGAAAATAGCAAGATGAGCTGACGTTTCACCTGAAGTGCCTATCTCATATCCGTTCACTTGGGAAGAGTCGATGTCGAAGATGTCATTCCTCTGGGACATGAGGTGCCACGGCTCAGTGCACAGGAACCCCAGAACGAAATCTTGGTTGGCGCGAGCAGCAGCTAGACAGCTCCGTCTGTATTCAGGCGTGAATGAGGTGTCGGTCATTGATGGGAGACAGAGCACAAGACCACGTGCAAGGAGAGGCGGAGGCGGCAGACCATCACCGTTGGGCAAATTTTGGAGATTTGTTTCCGGAATGCCATCCTGCGTAATGAGATGAGGTGTCGAGTCCAGAAGCGATTCCGTAGAATCTTCCGTATGTTGAGTAATAGTTTGAGTGAGAGAGATGGTCGAGGATTTCCGAAGAGCGAGGCCAAGCCCACTCTCATCCACAGCGTAGTCAAGCGTCAGATATTGGTCAGCATTGGTTTGTTCCTTTAATTCAGAATCATCATGTCCATCCGCCAAGGACTCAGTCGGAGCATTAACAGCCGTGATCTCTGTCCGGATGGTTTGCACACTGTCAGCGACCGCTTCTCGAGCGGCAGCTTTCAATGTTGGGATCAAGATATCGGCTTCTTGGTTCCCGACAGCGACACCAGATGCCCAGGCCGTCGCAATGCCAGCCCACGAGGCTGCTTTGACCACACCTTTAGTGTATTTTTTCCGTATCAAATCCACCAACTCATTTCTCACTTCTCTTGTCTCGGTTGTTGATTTCCCAACCACGTCGACGGTAGCATTGAGGATTCGGCCGCTTTCCCAGATCAAGAAGGCGTGTCTCTTCGCCAGCAAGGTCAATTGGCGGACCGTCTCGTCGGACCAGTCGTCGATGATGTCTGCATGTACTTGGAAGATCGCAACATGAGGTCCGACCAAGGAAGCCAGAGTCAGCAGAGACTCGGTGTTGGTGATGGTATGTGAAGGAGAGACGCAGACAGGTACACCATGCGGTAAACCTTTCTTGGCTCTTGCTAGCGTCTGTAGGTAGGCAATGATACGGTTGCCCCGAAAAGAGAAGGATTCGAACGGTGTAGGTGATTCCATGTTTAAGGGCCGACTGATCGTAACAAATCGTGATCCCGTTGCCGAAGAGAGGAGGGGTATGATATGGGGATCTTGTTTCTTTTTAACTATCGTATCCGGGGCGGTTGAGGACTGGAAAAGGGTCAATCAATAATAATAATGAACGGAGCTCCCATTTCTTTGGCGAGCTAGACATGTACTAACTAGTAAGCTACTAACGCATCACTAGCCAGCTACCAATAGGCAATAGATACTAGGTAGGATAAATTATTAGATAGATACCCGGCCACTGGAGGCTTAGACAAAGAACTGGTCGAGACCAAAGGGATTGACAGTTGGCCAATAATGTCACATCCCCACTTTTTGTGGCAGTTAGCTCGACAAAAGATCAGATGCTGGCGGGAACTTTCTGTAATTATGTTTATCAAAGGCATCTATCGATTGAGGGACCCGATACTTCGTTTTTCGTAGATCTGTCCAGCAAACTCAAAGTCTCCGAGCAGCACTTGCATAAATCCAGCGAGACGGGAAGAGACATTCAAGCAAACCTTATGTGAGCTGAGGGAGTGAGGAAATGCTCCGCTTCAAACTCGAGCGAATCCTACGGGGGATATACGGAGAAACTCCTACGAAGTACGTCCTTGAAGTGACTCCATCACGATCCACCATGTCCTTTCTTAGGACGTCCTTTTCGACGGTTGACAGTCCACTGTCGGCTGCTCTTTCTTTCCTTAGCTCCAATTATCCAACATATCCATTTCAAGCGATGAAGATCAGGTCGCCTCGCTCCAGTTCCACATCCCATTAGCCAGAGCTGGCTTAAGTTACCAGTAACCCGCGGTACCCTAAGGCGCGGCGACGCCACGACTGTGCACTAAGTACTCCCCGTACCACTGTGGTAATTAACTAAAGTAAACACTGGGTTTTCATCGTCCATACCTTGCAGGTCGATTCAATATCTAGATCACGCGCTATTCGCCCTGGCTGCTTGAAGATAGAATAAGGTACTTACTTCCCCGTAGCTATTCAGCTACCTACCTTAGTCTCCTGTTGGGTCAATTTTTGGTATTATTTCAGGCGCCGCACGACTCAAAGTACCTACCTACCGTTTACTTGTTTAGGTATTCTTCCGGTTCACCGTTATGGGATGTGGCCCGCAACATACATCATCCAATAAATTATTGCTGAAATGAGGGAGGAAGAATATGGGGCGAAGAATCAATGAGATGATTGACATACATATCCAGCGTAGGTACGGAGTACTCCGAGTGATTTATCAATATTAATTACACACGGGATCTGACGTCTTGAACCCAGTTTTTGAGGTTAAACGGCATACTACCTAGTTTGAGTCCTTGACCGTTGAGGTTAGTAGCAGTGTGAACCTTGAATACTGAAGACAGGAGATTTACTGGGTCCTTGCTCATCCAACGGCTCCATTTCGCCTCTAGGTAACTTTGCAGCTGAATCACGGTTTCATAGCGGTAACATGGCCTGCACCGCGTGACTTCAATATTGATTGGCTTCAGTACGAACAGACTCAGCGTGCGAGAGAAGTACTGTACGGAGTAGAATAGACTGTCTACAGCAGTCTAGTCTTGAGGCTGGCGAGATCATAAGACACATCAATTTACAAAAGTCCCAGTGAAATAGATATACAACGGGAGTTCTGAAACTTTATCCACATCCAACGTCAAAGCTCCAAAGTCACATCCAACGAGGTTTTAGGCGCATACTTTTGCAGAATGAGCTGCCTCTTATGCTATGGGGTTTGCAAGTACGAGGCTTCTTCTGGTTCCTCAACGGTGTAACCGCGTAGCCTGGCAGGTAAGGTGTGCTCAACATTGTACAGAGAACTGGTATGCAAGGGTTGTGGCTATGGCGTGACACATCCAAATATGCAGCATGAATGCATCATAGCTCCTGAGAGCCTCGACATCTCAGGATCACTCGGACCCTCGGACAAGATTTCCGTGAACTAGTTTTCAAAAGTCCAACTCTCAGGCCATATCCTAATTCTATATCAGTCTGCTGAGGGAATGTTATCCGTCAGCCAGCCAGCCACCGGAAAGGGGTATGGGATGGAGGGATTCTGCCATCAGCTGCCAAAACCTTTGATGTTATTCCTGCCCATCGGTTCCCAAGGTTAGCTTGTAGATGCCAAATTTCATGGTACAATCATTGTTGACTAAATTGGGAAGCTTAACTACAATATTTGTATGGCGCATGTCCATTCAATAGGCAAGGTTGTCTGATCAACGGCCGATGAAAGTCACTGTTATGAATTTTTGTACTTACCTCACCTGTTTCCATATCGACTCAAGCTTCATTGAAAAACATGGATATCAGGCGTCGTAAGAAGAGCTCACAACCTTCAACTGTCAGCTTGAGAACATGTTGAAGCCTTGAAGGACATTAGAAGCCTTAAGAATAAGGATACAATGTTGAAGTGGGTCAGGGGTCACACTGTCCCAAAAGAGTATAGCAAACTATCAACTTTTGACGTTTCACCCACATGATTGCTACTCCTCGTTTCTCCTCAACAACTCTGGGTTTTGCGTATGATAATTTATCACTCAGCTCTCATCCCAGCTCGGCTCAAAGGACCTGCGAAAAGCCGAAGAAAAGACGCCGGTGCTTTGCAAAAGCGCAGTCGTAACTGGCGCAGTGTTTTGGTCCCATCGACTGTACGACGGATCCCGGAGCGATCGGACCCGCAAGTTGATATTATTTCGTAGCTCACGCCACTCCTTTTTGCCGCGATTTATTTTCACATTTTCGCCGTTCCATCTGAAGTTTTGGATTCCTGAACTTAGCGACTCTGTACTCACGGTCGGTTTAGTCGATCCCATATTGCTCGAGTCTGTTTCTGCAGCGCGCAGCGGTATTTCAATAACCTCGAAGTATCCGATCATGCCCGGAAAGATTCTGCCAACATTCACACCCGCCGAGATCGAATCCCACAACCACGCCAAATCTTGCTATGTGACTTTGGGGTCCAAGGTTTACGATGTTACATCCTTTCTCAATGATCATCCGGGGGGCGGCGACTTAATCCTCGAATATGCCGGTAAAGATGTGAAGGAGATCTTGCGGGATGAGGCCTCTCACAATCATTCTGAGGCGGCTTACGAAATACTAGAGGACCTTCTTGTTGGGTTTCTCGATTCCAAATCTACGGGAAAGACAGCAGATGCGAATGGGTCGGCTACAGAAGGGGCAGAAGAAGATTCGCGGCCAGTGTATGCTTCGACAGGCATGTCGCGCGAAGAGGACCTGTCCGTTGAAACAGACTTGACCAAGGATTATCAAACTTTCAAGTTTCTAGACCTCAACAAGCCATTGCTTCTTCAGCTCTGGAATAGTGGCTTCAGCAAAGAGTTCTATCTACAGCAGATACACCGGCCGCGCCACTATAAGGGAGGAGAGTCGGCACCCCTATTTGGAAATTTCCTGGAGCCCCTGAGCAAGACCGCGTGGTATGTGGTTCCTTTGCTCTGGCTTCCTCCAGTCACCTACGGAAGTTTCGTTGGATTCGCTGGACTGGGGAATGTTCCTGCAGCAGCCTGCTACTGGCTGTTTGGTCTTTTCCTTTGGACCTTGATTGAATATCTCATGCACAGATTCCTCTTTCACATTGACGGGTACGTACTCTACTGATGCCTGCCCTCCTAACTTCACCTGACATTTTGGCCTTCCTCAGGTATCTCCCTGATAACCGAGTCGGTATCACCCTCCATTTCCTTCTGCACGGAATCCACCATTATTTGCCAATGGATAGATACCGGCTTGTGATGCCACCAGCTTTGTTCGTGATTCTGGCCACGCCCTTCTGGAAACTGGCTCATACAATCTTCTTCTATAACTGGTACGCTGCGGTCACAGTTTTCTGTGGTGGCGTATTTGGATATATCTGTTATGATATGACACATTACTTCCTCCACCACCGCAAGTGAGTTTTTCAATCCCTATAATTATCAGTCCCCATATCTAATGCAGTGGCCTCTTCTAGCTTGCCCGCCTATTATAAGTCGCTCAAGAAGTATCACCTTGAGCACCACTTTGCCGACTATGAAAACGGCTTTGGTGTCACAAGTCGCTTCTGGGATCGGGTGTTTGGCACTGAGCTCCAAACCCCACCACCCAAGGGCGCGAAAGCTCAATGATGAAGATTGCTTGGAGTTTCTGTTCTTCGTCTCGCCCTGCGACGGATTCCTTTCTCTGCTCATATCTTAGCCTGACGACTAATTACAAATGACTGCGGGCTCCAACCTCCAATCCTGGCTAAACACCACAGCTTTTACGGATGATGGCTTTTGGTCCCTACCGTTGTTCGGACAACCATCGGAGGACTATGTACTTTCAATCTGTAATGATTGAAACTTTTATGTCTTAAACGGCTTTAGGATTGTTGTTTAAACGACTATATGATTAGGTATTAATACATAATAGAAACTTTTCTTTCATTGTGAAGTACTGGGTTGGGCCAATCTTGTTGATGTTGGCCTGAGGCACCAACTGATCAACTTTAGATTTTTTCAGAATAAGGAGGCAAATGCCAAGAATCATGTGACCATCCATGGTTCCTCTCAGTTTTGAGACGTTCAGACATCCCTCACCACCGGCTTATCAACAGCTAAAGCCTGTACATTCGTGGCACACTCCAATCAACTGATCAACTGTCCAGGCCTTAGCGTTCTGGTTGCGAAGTCTAAGAAATCTGATTGTACAAATAGAAGGGTTCGCTCAAGTCAAGCTTGATAACTTGTCCTCTCTAACGAAGCCCAAGTGACCCAAGTCCTTTCTTTTTCTCTCCTCTTCAAGACTGGTCAGACACAAGAGTGTTACCTAGCACATCGTCACAATGTCAGGTCTTGACGTTGAAGCTCTCCTCGAATCAACCGCTGCAGGAACCCCGCAAGACTCCGCGCAGTCTCAGGACCGCGATGACCGCTCAAAAGCCGATAGCAGTGAACGCCGTGACCGCGATCGCTCGCGGGATCGAGATCGCAGACGGCGCGACCGGAGCCGAGAACGTCGCCGAGAACGAGATGCTGATGGAGACGAAGACATGAAGAGTCCGAGAAGCGAACACGGCAGTGCTAACGGGAGCCATAGAAGCAGAAAGAGGAGCAGAAGCCGTGAAAGTGAACGCCGTCGGTCTCGCCGTGATCGCTACGGCGATGACTACCGCTCTTCTGGTGACTATTACCGCGGACCTGGACGGCCCCGCACTCGATCTCGCTCCCCAATGATGACCGCTACTACCGCCCCTCGGGTCGCTCTCATCGAGAAGATCGGGAAGAGGAGCGACGCTCACGCCGTGAACGCAAGCGCAGCCTAAGCCGAGAGAAGTCCCCAGAGCTCAATGAGGATGAACGTGACAGGCGTACAATTTTCGTTCAGCAGCTTGCGGCACGTCTAAGAACGAAGGAACTGATTGCTTTCTTCGAAAAGGTTGGACCCGTTAAAGAAGCTCAGATCGTCAAGGATCGTGTGAGTGGAAGGTCTAAAGGGTAAGTGTGGCTTCTCTACTTGGTGCCAGTGTGCCAACTAACGGCTTCATAGTGTTGGCTATGTCGAGTTCAAGAGCGAAGAATCCGTCGCACCTGCTATTCAGCTCACCGGACAGAAGCTTCTAGGAATTCCAATTATCGCACAATTGACGGAAGCGGAGAAGAACCGCCAGGCGCGTAATCCAGAGGCCAGCAGTGGACATAACCACGCTGCTCCATTTCACAGGTTATACGTGGGTAATATCCATTTCAGTATCACTGAAAATGACCTCCAGAATGTGTTTGAACCGTTCGGTGAACTCGAATTTGTTCAACTGCAAAAGGATGAAGCAGGTAGGAGCAAGGGTTACGGCTTTGTACAGTAAGTGACGATCTTCCCGTCTTCGTGCTTGTCCTGCTTCGACTGACAAACGATTGTGTAGGTTCCGTGACCCCAACCAAGCCCGAGAGGCATTGGAGAAGATGAATGGCTTTGACCTTGCTGGTCGTGCAATCCGCGTTGGCCTTGGCAACGATAAGTTCACCCCTGACTCGTCAGCGCAACGCTCGCAGAGCCATGGTGCGAACCAACCAAATTTCCAGGGCTCTTCGTTCTCCGGCCAGGGAGGACGTGGTATCCAGGCTGGCGGTACTAGCAACTTCGACCGTGCCGGTGGCCGCGAATCTGAAAAGGGAGCCGGCGCTAGTGCTCTGGATGATACAGACGTTGCCGGTGTGAACTTCAACAACTATAGTAGGGACGCATTGATGAGGAAACTTGCAAGAACAGATGAACCTGCCGAACCTGCTGCCGATGATAAGCAGAAGGTGCTCCGACCCAAGACAGAAACCAAGCCGTTGCCGGTCAATGTCAACATGGCAAGTCGATGCGTTTTGCTTCGTAACATGTTTGACCCTGCAGAGTGAGTTATTCCTCCACTTCCACAGAGGTAGTTCCCATGCACTAACAAAGCCACAGAGAAGAGGGCGAGGCCTGGATCAAGGAGCTGGAGGATGACGTCCGCGCTGAGTGCGAAGACAAATATGGCCATGTTGTTCACATTGCACTAGATCCGAACTCTCAAGGCGACATTTACCTCAAGTTCGACAGAGTCCAAGGCGGCGAGAATGCCATCAAGGGTCTCAATGGTCGATTCTTTGGCGGTCGACAGATCACCGCTCAGCCTGTCGTCGATGCTGTATACAGCAGTTTGTTCTCCCGCACAAAAGCAATTTAGTGCATGAGCAACTTCGTGGACACCTACCACACATGCACGACATGGTAGGTATCTCATCTAATCAGCTTATTAGGCGCGATTCGTGACGGTTCAAAACCTTTTTTATCCTTGCAATTTGATCTTCCTGCTGCGGCATGGTGCTTGGGTAACGCTGGCCCTGGTAGGTGCCGATCTTCTAACATCTCGCTTTCGTGATGTCATATGAGCCGGAAGGCTGTTGTGCAATGATTTGTTTATAGGAACTTCGCATCGTTTTAGCGCAGATGAACTTCTTTGTACTTTGACCATTCTTACCTGCTTCGCCAAACTGTAGAGCAACCGTTCCTGGTACCAGTCTCTTCAAGCCCATTGATAAGTAAACCATGTTGCTTTTGTAGTGTACTCTTGATGCCTGCAACACGGCCACGTAAGGTATGTCAGGATATCAACCGGCTATGTACGTACTTGGGAGCAATGCCCTCGTCAAATAGGATCAACATACGTTGGTTGATTTGGATAAGAAAGCCGGTGGCTTTTAAGAGGTAGAAGATAGCCAAACGCTCCATTAAACTGCCTCCTTTGGTTCCTGGGCAGTTGCACATCAATCATATCTTATTTACCATATGATCTTCTGGCAGTATAGTAGAAGTATCAAGTTTGAAACTGAAAATTATAATATTCAGACAGAGTATCTCAGCCTATTAAAACACTACTCATTCACAAAACCATGTGTTCTCTTGATAACTTCCTTAGAACTTTCCGGACAAGGAGTCACAGGCATGATAGAAAACGTCGCCAGCTGCGCATCTGAGACTGCTGACATCCAATAGCCTGCAGGATGTTTATTTCTCTTACCTAGGGCGCCGAGCTTTGCTTGAATCCCACGCACACTCTGGATCATAAATTGTGATAAATTCTCACTCTCCCAAGTGTTGACCCTGACCGAGCTGATTGCGTTCCCTAAACAAAGGATTCTTAGGCAATCCATCCAGACTGACACTCATCTTTCTCGTCCGTGGTAAAACCAGACGGCCAGGAAATGGACTTCCTGGGCCTGCATACCTTTCGCCAGGAGCTTCCTTCTCACCAGGAGGCCCGCAGGCGTCCCGAGCCCACCAGCGTCGTTCCGCAGCTCACTCCCAATGAGGATCTTGAAAGGCTGCTCCGGCGCCACCGTCCTGCCATCTCGACGATCGAGTTTGGCATGAACTACGGCGCGGAGTGGGCGACACAGCACTTTGCCGCCAAGCTTGCAGAGCTCTGGAGGAAGGCGGAAATGTTCGGACATATCTTTGCGAATACTCCCGACCCTGTCAGAGACGGACAGCTGCCCGTTCGTATCAGACAATACCTCAATCGTGTCTCGCACAGCATCCTGATGCCCCGCCTGCTCGCAAGCCCTACCACCAGGTGGGCCCTGCTTTCCAGAGCGATCAACGAGTGGCTGCTTGACTGGGTTCTGAACGAGACGGTGGTACAGGGATTTGACCTCGTTTTGGACGCCGAGTATCAACTGCTGAAGCACCACCTCCTTCGCGGTAAGTAACGTGGACTCAAGGTCCTCTATGTCCATAAATCGCCCGCTAAGACATTCAGTTTAGACCTTGAGCCCTTCGTGCGAAAGGTCGTTCTAAACGCCATGGTGAAAACCGTCTGCGAGATTCTGTGCAAGCCCGGATTCAAAGAATTCTACCTGGAAAAGCACCGTTGGTATGTGGAGAAGCTGTGGCGGTACGTTGGACGTCTTGTCCCAGACATACCTGAGTACCAGACCGAGGGCCGCACCAGGATTGCGCAAATCATCGCAAAGGCGCAAGCTCTGTCAGTCGACATGCTTCTGACTCCTCTGGAGTATGTGCATTATTTCCCGGAGTGCGATGATGTTTTTGACCCGATTGAGATGGTAAATATGGATCCCACCAACGACAGATCTCCGGGCGAGCTCCTGCGCTTGTGGTTCAGAATCAAACTAGCCTACACTCCCGTCACATACATTCGCGCAAACTTCGAAGAATCATCGAACTGCGAGCTTGTCTTCCGGAGTGAGGTGCTGTTGATGCCCGAGAACAGCGCGGCTCTGATTCCGGAGTCCTTGATATCTAGCCTTAACCAGTACTGAGGCAGTTGGGTGACTGTATTCATGGCTCCTGCGTGCGGATCTTGTTAGTTTGTGTCTTCCCGCCTTCTGATGTGATGACGAGGACATCTTGGACTGGGTGATGAGGTCTTTTGCGTTCTCTCAAGCGCTCTTTTCACTTCTGTGATACGTTCGGGTTGGCCATTTGCTTTGATGATTTTGCGTTCTGTTTCTCATTGATCCTGGTCTGTTACAGATGTTGCTCTTGTTCGCCGCGGATTGCTGGTTAGCGAAGGAGACGACGAACTGTGACTTGGTGTACGATAGGACATCAGAATCAGGTGTTAATGATTTTCAATTGCCAGCCGAGTCGAACGATTGCTAGGGATCAACAGGCACATTGCTAAACTAACGTCGTGTCGGCCGTGATTAGAAGCTCAGAGTGGCAAATCTAGAGCTTAGCATCAAAACGGTGCAGTATCCCCTCTAGAACGTGTCCGTGATTGTCCTCGATGCACTCTTCGATCCATAATCCACTATTGTGCAGTTTGGATTATGGTGATGTATAGTCGCTGCCAAGAGGAAATGTCATCATCACCAGAGCAAACTGCCGTGGCATTTCTCCGTCGCGAAGACACTTGGGCCGCACCCCCGGCAAAAGAGCCTCTCTTCGCCGATCTCCGAGACCAAGACAGGATCTCTCCAGCATGAACCTGCGAGGGTGTCTGTAATAAACTATTTTTGAACATATTCCAACGCTGGTTACTTTTCAATGCCTTCACTTCCATGATTTGGGCTCCTGCGAGGCGAGTCACTGTCCGGACGTGGACCTTGACGAACTACAGTATGTCGAGCTCTGCTCCTGTTTCCCCCTCCCGCACGTCTTATCTCCGACGCCGCTATACAGATCTCGGAGCTGTGTCTGCAATGATCCTGTGAGACGTTCGACGCGCTTACTGACCTGATGTTTACCTCAAGCTTTCGTTGCATTACCAAAGCGTCATCAGAATACGAACTCGGCGGCGTCCGCCAATTCCCGGACTGTCAAGCGGCCTGAATTCCACGACTACTTTGTTACCCACCTGCCATCCTCGTCCCTACATCCAGATCCCAGAGGACTATCTAGTTCCTATCATAAATTTCCTCGCTCCGCTTCTGTACCTCATACCGGGGCGATATCACATCCACCGACCTCCTTCCAGGCGCTAGTTGACCGCGAGACCACCGTCGTCCGAATACCGCTGCGCAGTGCGAAACACCACTTCGGTGCTGCCACATCCCGTGGGACTCGTGTCTCGAATGAGGATACACACCAGGCTGGCGTCCTTGATATTCCTGCCTTCGCGAAGCGACCCCCTGCGTCCGTGACTATCAAGCGCACCGCTGCGCCTCTGGAGAACCGGGGTGCAGATAGCGCCAGCGGCGACCCGCAAGTCTTCTACTTTGGCGTGTTTGATGGGCATGGAGGGAGCGAATGCAGCACATTCTTGAAAGACACGTTACATGAATATATACAGGACACGGCAGCCGAATCGGAGTTCCAGTCGAGCCTGAGCAAGGACCGAGAGGCCCACTTTTTCAAGAATGAGTCGGAGATCTCTCGGGGCGATCTGCCCATCATACAACGGGGCAATCATAAGAGAATGGCGGAAATGGAGAAAACCCTAGTTCAGAATTGGAGAAGGCTCGTCGGAGGTTACTTCAAGCGATTTGTGCCGGCCCACTTCTCCTATCGTGGGAACGCTGCTCAAGGAAACGGGAGCGCGACATGCAATGGGGACGATCATGCAGGGGGCGTCACGATTGAAGAGATTCTAGAGTACGCGTTTCTGCGGGCGGACCTTGACTTCGTTTCAGCGCAAGCCGCCAAGGAAGACGATGAACTGGCCACGGCTCATAAGCCGCAGTACCAGGATGACATTCTGTACGGGCCAAAGCACACCCAGCAGATGAAGCTTGGCGGTTACCGACGATTCAAGGGAGGCAGCACAGCCAGTGTTGCCCTCATCTCGACTCCGACTCCCACTCCGTTCTGGCACCCATCCGCGCCGTCGAGTCTCCTGATCTCGCATGTGGGTGACACGAGGATTGTGCTATGTTCTACTGCAACGGGAGAGGCGATCCCACTGACGTCCAACCATCATCCTTCCTCCCCAATCGAAGCCAATCGCTTGAGGCGATATGCCGCCACATTTGTAACCGATTCCTTTGGTGAGGAGCGCATGAGTGGTTTAGCGAATACGCGTGCCTTTGGCGACGTCCAATCGAAACGCATCGGCGTATCTGCAGAACCAGAAATCCGGCGCATCGAGATGGGTCCAGCAGAGTACTCATTCTTAGTCCTCATGACTGATGGGATTAGCGGAACGCTCACCGATCAAGAAGTTGTCGACATCATCAAGGAGGCAAAGACGCCGGACGAAGGGGCTCGAAACGTGGTCAACTTCGCAACGGAAGTGACAAAAGAAGGGGATAATGCAACATGCCTCGTTGTTCGTTTGGGCGGCTGGGAGCGTCGACTGGAAGGAGGACTTGGAAGTCTGGGGACCAAAGAATCCCGAGAATGGCGCCGACAAGAAGCAACTGATCCGCGCAGTTCACGGCGATGAGCACGAGCCATTAATACCCATAATTGTACATATTCTTTTTGTTGTAATTCTTCACAGACACTGCTGGTGGCTAGGACCCTTTGAATCCTGCTGTACATACATTCTCTTGGATTTAGGGCCGAAGGGGGTTTTCTTTTGTTACGTTAAACTGATATTGTGTACTTGAGATACTCGGATATACCAATACTCGGATATACCAAATGAAAATACCTACAGATGCACGGTAATATTCAGTCTAGAGTCGGATTTGCATTGTCACTGGGAGTTTGATACTGATGCGGATTATCCGCAAGCAGCCGCCTCTGACTTCATACGAGATTTCTGCTGCGCACAGGGCTCATCGAACACGGTTGTTAAGGCCAGCAGATTTTCTGGCCATCTGGCTTGTGTCCTCAATCTGATCATCCTCACTTGTCCTGCCATTGTCTCCAGTAGCAACAAAGTGCCGCTTGCTCTTGGTTTGACGCTGCGAAAGCTTCATTGCTTATCGGCCTTATCGCCAACATAACACACACGACCAAGCAACTTTCCCCGGACGTCTCCTGATTGTTCACCCAGCTACGGAGTAATCAAGGTTGAAATATAAGGCTGTTCAAGCAGCGCCAGCCTTATCATATGTTTCCCTACGCTCATTAAATTCACCTTACTTCCCTAAGTCCTTGAGATCGAGTGTCGTCCCAGGAGGGCCGCGTCACAGCAAAGCGGAACTCGTCGGTACGTGCTTTACAAATCTCGCTCGGTAAGCTCTGTCTCTCTCCACAACTAACGACTTGTCTTTATCACTCCCTGGCCAGACTCATTGATCGTGGTTATTGCAGTTGGATAATCATCATATCAACTCCTGATTTTCGATCGGCACGCGACTGTGCGCGGCTTACATCATTAAGTCTAGTTTGGCCATTGAGACTTCGGACAAGACCTCTCAGTGCGGCCGCTGCGGCGTCACAGCTTATCCTCTATTATACTTGTCGGTTACTCCACACCTTACCAGCTACAAGCCTTCCTATCCGGGGCGACTTTTCCACCTCATATATTGCGTGTCGCACATATTTCATTATGAGTGCCAGAACGAGAAGACAAAAAGCCGCCCTGGCTGCTCAATCAGAGGATAGCGACGTGACGACTACCAGCAACGGCACGACGCGGAAATCCCCCCGAAAAAGCAGCTCCCCTTCTCCTGACGCGGAGGCTAGGGAGAATGTGTTTCTATTCATTCCGAACCTCATCGGTAAGTAAATTATGTACAGGTTCCCTTGTCTGGATGAGACGCTGACCGCTGGCGCAACGCTGCAGGATATTCACGAGTTTTCTTGACCATTGCCTCTCTTTACTACATGCCCCTCCACCCACGAACATGCTCTTTACTATATAGCGTATCATGCTTGTTGGATGCGTTGGATGGATATGCAGCGCGGTACTACAATCAGTCCACCACTTTTGGTGCGGTGCTCGACATGGTGACGGACCGGTGCACAACCGCCTGTCTACTGGTATTCCTCAGCTCCGCATGGCCGCGGTGGTCGATCCTTTTCCAGAGCCTGATTTCTCTGGACCTCGCCAGTCACTACATGCACATGTACGCCACGCTTAGCATGGGAGGAGCTAGCCAGAGCCACAAGAACGTTGAGGCTACCAGAAGCTGGATTCTGTACCAATACTACCACAGCAAGGTGAGTGCGATGCAATGTCTACGAAAGGAAGAATTGATGGCTGACAGAGCCTGCAGACGGTCCTTTTCATTTGCTGTGCCCTCAATGAACTTTTCTTCATTGGTCTATATCTGCTCTCCTTTTCGTCTCCTATTCTCTCCCCCTCGCTTCTTCAAGCTCAAGATCCCACTGCGCCTCCGGCTCTCGGTAGCCCCTGGAGCGCCGGAGCTCTGGAGCTTGCCCGGGCAAACAAGATTGACAGCTTCTGGCCTTGGGTTATCACCGGAATCTCCGCCCCAGTCATGGCTCTGAAGCAATTCATCAACGTCGTTCAGCTGGTGAAGGCTAGCAAGTGGCTTGCGGAAGGTGATCTTGCCAGACGCAAGGCTGAACGGGAGGGGAAGACACTGTAGACTGTTCGAACGCTGCATCGCCCAAGTGGGCTAGCCTTCCTCACTTGGGGCTTTTGTCAAGGTGGCACTCGACTGTCCGTGTCCAGTGCTTTTTTCGATTGGGCGCTTCATCATTGAATTGCTTGTCGCCAACGGAGCCTTTGTCTCTGCTTTGTTGGCTTCCAGCTTCTTTATGCATGGTTCGATCCTATGGTCAGTATCCTGAGGCTAAGAAGCAGCGCTGGCTGCAATTATCGGTCTGCTTTCTGTTATTCATCCGCTTTGTGGGAACACCCTGGTTCTTTCAAAAGCATCTTACGAAGAGAGCAGTCAATGGGGTCCATCTGGTTGTGGGACCCTCTTATAGGCGAGTGTTCGCACTACAGATGCCTGCTCTGGCATCATTCTTAGAGTTCTTCTTTTTCTTCATTTCCTTCTTTTCTTCTTGTCAACTAGGCTTCTTCCTTACGCCTTGCTAAGTATTTTTAATCTGTTTTCATGAGAATCAGTGGACATATTCAAAATGCATGTCAACAAATCATCAACATTACTATGGCTAGGTGTATCAGGTGTAATCAATAACCAGGAATTAATTCGTCTATCTATATTTATATGCTCAGTAGCATTTAATGTTCCTCAGATAGCCGTCTCAAAAGTATGAGTGTTTTGTATAGCTCCAAGTCCAATCGGCTTAAGGTGGATTCCGAAGGATCTCCGTCACTCTCCGGTGTCGGCGCGCGGGGTGCATCCACCCCTCCATATCTTGAGGGATATTTCAACTTCGCTACCTGCAATTGTTCTTCAATCTCCCCAGGTTCAATTCTTTCTTCTATTGTATACTCACAATGCCGTCATATAACATTGTCGTTTTTGCTGGTGACCACTGTGGTCCGGAGGTAAGTTCGAGATCCCAAGCAGGTATATCTCGCGTCGCATAGCTAATGAGTATACCTTTGACCATAGGTGACCACTGAGGCAATCAAGGTGAGCAGACAACGATGTCGCTGTCGACGGAGACACATTATCAGTGGTTTCGTTGCAAATCATCACATCAACTAAAACGGCCCGTCAAATGCTAGGTCCTCCGCGTCATCGAGAAGTGCCGTGACGATGCTACCTTCAACCTCCAGGATCAACTTCTCGGTGGTGTAAGTGACAATCTCAAACCGGCATTTCTTCGGCCAATGCTCACAAGAACCCTGTAGGCATCGATCGATGCTACCGGATCTCCCCTGACCGACGAAGCTCTGAACGCCGCAAAGAACGCCGATGCCGTTCTCCTCGGTGCCATTGGCGGGCCCGTACGTGAACACACTCTCACCCAACCTCCAGGGCCGAAAGCTAACGCAACCCGTAGAAATGGGGCACTGGCGCCGTCCGCCCCGAACAGGGTCTCCTCAGACTGCGCAAGGAGATGGGCACATTCGGTAACCTGCGCCCCTGCAACTTCGCCGCCCCGTCGCTGGTCGCCGGCTCCCCTCTCCGCCCCGAAGTCTGCCGCGGCGTCGACTTCAACATCATCCGCGAACTGACCGGCGGGATCTACTTCGGCGAGCGCAAGGAGGACGACGGCAGCGGCTTCGCCATGGACACGGAGCCGTACTCCCGCGCGGAAATCGAGCGCATCACCCGTCTCGCGGCCCACCTCGCCCTGCAGCACAACCCCCCTCTCCCCGTGTGGAGCTTGGACAAGGCCAACGTCCTCGCTACAAGCCGGCTGTGGCGGAAGACCGTGACGGAGGTCATGGCTAAGGAGTTCCCCCAGCTCAAGGTCGAGCACCAGCTCATTGACTCCGCGGCCATGATCATGGTCAAGGAGCCTAGGAAGCTCAATGGTATTGTTGTCACTAGCAACCTGTTCGGTGACATCATCAGTGATGAGGCGAGCGTTATCCCTGGTTCTCTGGGCCTCTTGCCCAGCGCGAGCTTGAGCGGTATTCCGGACGGAAAGACCAAGGTCAACGGTATCTACGAGCCTATCCACGGTACGTAGTTTCTTCTGTCGTCTACAGCTTGCGATCTGAGTGTACGCTGACATAAAACAGGTTCCGCCCCCGACATTGCAGGCAAGGGCATCGTCAACCCCGTCGCTGCCATTCTCTCCGTTGCCATGATGATGCAGTACTCCCTGAACCGCATGGATGACGCCAAGGCCATCGAGACGGCTGTCCGCAATGTGATCGAGGCTGGTGTCCGTACTGCCGATATTGGCGGCAAGTCGACAACTAGCCAGGTCGGCGATGCTGTTGCTGCCGAGCTGGAGAAGCTGTTGAAGCAATGATTGATCAACAAAAGCAAGTTTTTTCGGTTTTCTCGTCGCACGAGCAATTTCAGTCCCATGTAATGTCAAATGGGACATGACTTGAGCAGATTTAAATAGATATGACTCAATACTTTATTAATTATCAGAATATCGAGGCCATTGGCCCGTGATTGTCGATAGCATCCGATGCCCCAGCAGCGCGCTCGCCAAATGTAGTAGAATATAATGAAAGTAAGAAATGGGTATCTTGAACTGGCAAACACACAATACCGATAGCAAACCCGCCCTCATGCACCTGTCGCTTGGTTGAGAAACGAGAACCCGCCGCGAACACCATTTTGCAGAATGCCACCCGAAATGATAAGACATACATGGGCGCAAAGCCCAGTCACGACTCCCATTCCTATCGTATTACAGGCTCCCCCATCCAGTCTGGCTCCTCCAGACCACCGACCCTACCCCCGTCAGCATCCCCATTGGGATTACGTCCCTCAGCCCCACCATCATTGAGACTTCCGCGAAGGGACCGCCGAGCGCTGTGCCTTCGGGTCCGTCCATCCGCAGAGGCCGAGGGGGCATTGCCCATGCGCCGTCGATCGTCGTCGCGCGCAAATACCTGGAACCCGCGCACATGCGTATCCTTCCCGTTCTGATGGTTCTCCGTCACGCGCATTTGGATCACCATGGCTTTCAGCACGTTCCCCGCATATGGGTCGTCTTCGTCGTCCTCGCTGGCGCTTTCGCCGTCGTCGTAGTCGTACGCCGCTTCGTCGTATTCAACCGGGTTCTCCGAGTCTGAAAACATATAGTCTGGCCATGCGACGCCCTTGGACTTCCCTTTGCCCTTGCCCTTTCCGTCCTGGAGACGGGTCCGCGTGCGCTTCCGCCGTCGCCTCCGGACCCAGCCGCCGTCTCGGCCACCCACCCCTTCCAGAGGTATATCGACCCAGCCGCACGGCCCTTCGCCTTCCCATGTTGCGAACTCGACCAGGTCGTTGCCGCCCATGCCGGCTAGGAATACCATCTTGGTAGGTGTGTAGCTTTCGTCCATTTCGAAGTCGAGGTAGACGCGGATTTTGACCACTGCGACAAGCTTGAAGAAATGCAGGGTTAGCATGTGCGGTTGGGGCCCGTCCGATTGCCAGTACTGGGTGGGTGAGGGGTGACGGAGGGCCGCAACACCGCAGCCTGGTTTGTGTGTCGAGACGGTCCACGAGGCTAGGGAGGATATTTCGCGGAGGTTGCTTGGTAGCGGCGAGGGCGACCTGTCTGTGGAGTAGATGAGTAATTGTCACCTTTCCGGTAGAACCGAAGGGAAATGTGACTGCGCTAGCTTACCCCGATCGTGCATCAATTCATCTTCGTCTTCTTCGCCTTCCAACTGCTCGCCAGCCATGCCTTCCATCTCCTCTGCGGAGAAATCCCTCTCTTCCTCCTCTGGCTCCAGGTCTAGACGCCGATGGTCCATTTCATAACTCTGATCTACGTCCTCGTCTTCCTCGCCCACGTCTTCTTCTTCTTCGTCGTCTTGATCGTCCTCGTCCATCATCTGCCCTCGCTGACGGCCAGAAACTCCCCGCCCGAACAGAGAAAACAGCGCAGCTTGCGCAGCGGCACCAGAGTGTGCGGGAGCGGCCTCAGCCATCTCGGCAGGACCAGATGAAGAATGCAATTGCGGGATATTCCGCGATGGGGGCGTCTGGAATTGTGTTTGAGCAGATCCATGGCCCAGTCGCGATCTGCTTGTTTGTTGCTGTGGGGTTTCATCGGAGTTTGTTTCTGGGACTGGCGCGGGGTGTCTTCGGAGGAGGTGATGGCGAGGCATTGTGAGGCTCTGAGGGAAGTTGAGATAGTCTGCGTGAGCTTTGCGTTTATCCAGGCATCTCAGAAGCTCGTGTTGGAGGACCTGTACGGAACGCTCCCTCTACGCGGAATCTACTCCGACTTCTTGATCTTATCGCGTCGGCGAACAGTTGAATCTCCGCGTTGATGTCACGTGCTGCAAACAATGACCATACAGTAAAGACCAACGTGTTTTTTCAATTAGTACCTCTCTATAAGTGCCACAGGTTGAACCGTCTAAAAACAGATTTACTAGAAGATATGCTATAATACAATGACGAGCAGCCGTAACAAATCGGACCCAAGAGTAGGAGCAGGATGCGCTGTTGAAATCAAACCCGCTCCGATGCCAATCCTGGTCAGAGTCCTTTCTATTCCTGAATGTCCACGTAACCCATCTTCTGGCCCATCTTGATACGCTGGCCTTTCTGAATCGTCCAGTTCCATCCTCCTTCACGTTTCCCTTCTTCCCAACCAATGTCAAATGATTTCCTGGTTCCCATCGGAGCCTCAAAGACAAGCACGATGGAGCTACCCAATTGGAAGCCACCCATTTCATCTCCTCTCTGCAGGGGATGGCCACCTAGCGTCCTGCTTGCATGGAGGTAGGTTGCCTCAACGAATCCAGGATATTGCTCGCCCCTCTGTGCGGCAAGTGCTGCAGCCCTGTCTGCAACTGTGTCTGTGGTGAGACTGTTCGTGCGTAATTCTGAGTCGAAATTGATCTTGATGGACCCCACGTTAGTGGCGCCTACTGGGATGTAGCTGAAAAAGCCCCATCGCCAACGACCCAGCAGAGCAACTCGCTCGTTGAGAGTAAAAAGACCGGGTAAGTGACGTTGTAGATAAGGTGACACAGAGTATAGTTCGCCTGCAAAGTGTCGACGACTCTCAACAACCCATGACACGGGAGAGTGGAAGCGATGATAGTCACCGGGCGCAAGATAGATTACCACGTAGTAGAGCGCATTGTTCGATGTCGGCTTAGGCGCATACCACGGAGAGCCGTCGCCGCGAGCAATTTCGGCCTTCACTGCTTCTTCTGCAGCAGCTTCTGACTTTGTGGATGCGTCCAAAGAAGCCGCCCGTCTCCGTGCCCCTCCCTTGTCTCCTGCAAGGAGGGTCGGCAGCGTATACGAGATGCCGTTCACTTTGGCGAATTCCTCATCAGCTAACATATTAGCTGCATCTTTATGGGATGGTTCTGTCATGTGGTTCATAAATTTCTTGCTGTGATCAGCGGAAGTCGGTGTGGCAGCACCTAAGAGCGCATCCAAGCTGTACGTTATACCCTTGACTTGTTCCACCTCACCGCGGTCAATCAGACCAAATTGCAGGATGCGGCCATCTGACGGGGAGACAATGGCGCGAGGGTCAGGATCTATTGGTCGTACACCTGGCTTTAGTTTGCGATAGAAGAAGGCGGCCAAATTTGGATACGTGTGAAGGTCTGGTTCGGCTACCTCATCCAGATTGACACCGAAGATCCAGGAATAAAGTTTGAATCCGGGAACACGAAGATAATAAGGTAGTTCCAGCTCGTTGAAGGCTCCCCACCAGCGAGACATTGCCTTGAGAGGCAATGTCGACAGGATTTGGACCTGCCATGGTCCGCTGGGCCTGACTCGGGGACGTGGAGGGGGTTTCTCGAAATCAAACGACTCTCCAAGTGCCTCCCTCTCGGCGCGTTCTCGTTCCGCCCGCTGTGACTTGTAAAAGTGCAGTAAACCCAGCAAACCGATACCCAGACCGACGGGAATTGGGTACCATTCTACTTTTGTGGTTCGCAAGGCAAATCGAAGTCGAGATCCAAAGGAGCCCCTTGGGGACGAACGCTCATGGTTGTTCTGGCCATTGTACTGCTTCCAAGACTTTGTAGAAAATTCTCTAGGACCGGTCCTGCGTCGACCAGTTGCTCTGAAAGACACCATATCCATTACTGCAGCTCTGCCCCCATTAGGGGTAATCGTGAGCTTCCGGCGAAAAGGCGCAGAACAGTTGGAGAGGCACAGGGCCATAATCACTGATCTACTCCAGAGACATCATCCCTTACGGGAGAAGAGATAGCGATGATGTATGTGGTGTCCAGTACAAGCAGACTGAGATGAGATTGATTTGTTGTCAGCCAAGTTGTATGCCCATATTATTTCTCTAAGTTTTGCGTCATGCGATGCCCACCGCCCGGCAGAATAAACGTGTCTATCGGCTTCTTCAATACTCTGCAGCGTCGGTTGTTTATCCCATTCTTTTTCATTAGGTTTCTCCCTATTCTCTACCTCGTTCTGTCTCTGAGTACGTGGGGTCATTTGCAAGTGCAGCTTATTAAATAATTTCCGTCTGGACCTCTACCTCCAACTGATGTGGTACTGACCGACGGACCGATGAAAAGGACACCGTCATCCTCAACGCCGCTCTCTCCGCGCTCCACTTTGATAGTTCCATCTTCCTTCTTTTACGCCTGTTTCCGACCAACCGAGGAATGAATATTCCATTTGAATTTATTGTTTGAATACTTGACTCCGGTCTCGACTTTGCAAAATCTGATTGCTTGTCATCATTTCTCGGCCTTCACGACAGCTACAGCGTCATGTACCCGAGAGGACTATGAGCATCTGTCAGCTACACTTCGGTCAAACTTTTGAAAGTAGAAACATCGGGTTTTACGATTATGGCGTCCAATTCTTCTGATCAACCAGCTGCAGCGTTGGAGAACGTTCCACGCAGCATCACCTTGCACGTACTCTGCCCGTCTCTACCCAATCGCTTCACCTTCGATGATCTTCCCCTCTCTACGACTGTGGCTGGTCTCAAGGCTCGCTTGACCGAATCAATACCAAGCCGTCCAGCGCCGAGTAACCAGAGATTGATATGGCGCGGAAGGGCACTTTCAGACGATGCTATGACACTGGAAAGTGTCCTGGGCCCCACGGATGTAAGCTCCACCGCCAATCGCCTTTATTTGGCTGAGCCTCTCGCATTTGGAATAGCTACTGACAATTGAGGATACGCGTAGAGTACCGAATATTCCATGCATCTTGCTCTTCCACCGCCCTCCACCGTAACCTTTACTCCATCCGCTTCCGACCCCCCTGCAACTGGTCGCCTACCAGACCCTTTTCTCAATAGAGCATGGTCTTCTGCACTTCCGACTCTTCCGACTTCTACTCAGAGTTTCGGACAAAGGGGCTCGATACCTGCTGGCGTACCACATGAAGCTGAGATCGGACTTGCCCTTCAGCGTAACATTGACCAGATCCGCCGACAAATTCGGACCGCCGCGCAACAACCCAGATCGGGACCGCAGGGGTCGCAACCTCAACTCCCTCCGTGGATCAAGCAGGCGCACAACAGCGGACGGGTGTCTTTCAGTCGGGTTACCCTCCTGCGAGATGGTCAACAAGAGTCCATGGGCCACTGGGCCCTTCAGACCTTCCCCAACCCCGATCTTGGCCCGCTGGTCATTTGCCGTCCACGGGGACTCAGGCCACGAATCTCCGTGCTCGTCTAGATGTCCTACAGCTACAGGTAAACTATGCCGAGGACCAGCTTCAACTGGGAATCGCACCTCCGGCAGAACGAATCATTCGTATTCGTAATCAGCTTTGTGAGATGCTAGACGATCTCTACAGTGATCCACGTGCAGAACGCAACGGAAACATTGAAGCGTTGCTTTCTCGTATTTTTAACGTCTACACTCGCGCGGATCAACTTCGCATCACGCAGTCTAGATTGCAACCCTCTCTCCTCGCTCCCAACGCTTCTGCAAACGCGGAACCGGCGCGCCCTCCTCTGTACCTTCTATCGTCACCAGGTGGATATCAAGCTCTAGTCGCGTCTCCGGGCGCGACAAACTCGATTCAGGCGTCGCTTGCTTCCTTCCATGCGTCGCAGACTCCTGAGTTTACACCCATGCAGGCTCCAGCTCAACCAGCCGGATTCGGAGCCAATCAGGAGGCTGTAGTTCTGGAAAATGTTGTTCGGCAAGCTGTGCTAAACCAGCGAGCGGTGAACAATGGACCGGTTGATCTTTCCAGGTATATTAGACGCATCTGGCTCTTCGTCCGGCTGTACTTTCTATGCTACATGTTCAGCGAGCCAGGAACCTGGTTGCGAGTCTTATATGTTACGCTAGCCGTGGTTGCCTCTCTTCTTTCCGAGACCAGAATTCCGCGGCAGCTGTTCAATATGACAGTCGCTCCTCTCCAGCGTCACCTTGAGGGATTGTTACATGTAGCTCCTGATGCTGCTGGCGATAATGGCGCTCAGGCTGCCGCGAACGGCACTGGCATGCTCAACGACAATCGTGCCAGCCTGCCCGGTCAGCTTCGCCAGGGTGTCCGGCGATTGGAACGATCTGCAGCGCTGTTCGTTGCCAGTTTGGTTCCCGGGGTGGGCGAAAGACAGATTGAAGTGCGAAATGCAGCCGAGGCAGCCCGTAACGCGCAGCTCGCACGAGAAGAAGAGGAGCGTCGCAGACAGCAGGAGACGGCGAACGACAGCGAGAACAGTGCGGAGCGGCAGGAGTCTCATGAGGAAGCGAACGGCGCAAACGAGCGCGTCGAGCCAGCCGAACAGAACACTATGACTACTAATCAATCCGAGCCTTTGATACCCCTTGAGCCTGACGAATGAGCGAGCAGTTTCTCTTTTTTGACTTTGACATTAGCGTTGAGTTACCGCATGAGCGTTTTACCTAGCCTGCATTTTGATTATTCTGATGTAGAATAGCACATACGTCGAAATGCATTGACATCTTTACCTCAATAGTTGAATTGCATAACAGGCATTGTGTTCTTCTCTAGTTACTAAAGGTCAAAGCCTGTTGGTTCTATGTTCCCGGTTTAGGGTATCTGCTGGGGATTCTCTTCTACCAACCCCTATGCTCTATTCACAACTTCAGGCCAAGCTTCACTGCCGACGTATCCTGAGGGGAAGTAGGAACCTCAGACGGCGGCGCCATAGGGCCCGTATCAAACGACTCCTCTCCATTGAAATGCCTATCCATCGCCACATCAGTCCTATTCCCAACACTGGAAACCAAGGGTTCGAAGGAAGTACTCACCAGCCCCTCTCAGCCCCCGTACTGAGAAACCCACAGTCCCCATTCTTCACACAGTCCCATCCACCCCCGACACCCTTCCCACCGCGCCAATCCGGCACCCTCGTCTCAGCCCGCAGGATCTTCGTCCCGGGAGCCAACGCCTCCGCAGCCGACACCTCCGCCCCAGGCCTAGCCGTACCAACTTCGTTTCGTCTCCGCCGAAACGTACTCAACCCCGCCGTGAAAACAAAAAAGTCCTCGGTGGAACTATCCTCCGGCATCGCGCCCGTCAACGCCCGGCCCATGGCAATCAGGGGTGCCGCATGCGAGCAGATAAGCAGCGCCTTGCTGGAGCGCTGGTCCGGGGGCTGAGAGTCCTCCAGGGCCGCGATCTCGGCGTCCACGTCGGCGATTATGCCTGCCAGCGCAGTGGCGAGGCGGTCGTGCAGCTGTGCGATGGTCTCGCCGCGGGGGAGGGGAGGAGGTGCGGGGTGTGCTTTGAGGGTGGGACGGGAGGATGCTGGGGAAGTGGGAGTGGAGGGTTGACGGTGTGGCCGGGGAGGGGTGCTCGAAGAAGGAGGTTGGGCCGAACCATTCCCTTGTATCTGTGTTAGCAGTTTGTATCTTCGATAACCGTGGTAAGGTAGGTGCCGCTACCCTATCCCATTCTCGATCCTGACGTCAAAGTCCGCGCAAGCGTCGATGTCGCTGCTTTGCTCGTGCTGCTTCTTTGCCTTTAGCGCCTCGACGGTTGGCTGGATCGTCTGCAGACAGCGGTAGAAGGGGCTGCAGTACACGCGGAACGGCTTGGGCTGGAACGCCGGGCTCGCGATGTGCGCGGCTAGTTCGTGCGATTGCCGGACGCCATGGGAGGTTAGGGTTGGGTCGGCAGGGTTTCCAGTTGGAGTCGGGAATTGGGCTCTGTATGTGCCTGTTTTGTAGTCGATTGTCCAATTGAGGCGGTGCTGGAGATGTTGTCAGTGATCTGGATGGAAACGGAAGCCGGGGCGGGGGAAGAGAGTGGACTCGAGGTACATACGCCATGGCGCGTTAGATATATTGTGTCCAAGGGCATATTGTAGCAGTTGAGAAGCCGACGATACAGGTAACTACAACAGAAAGATTGTGATTGGAATATCGACAGGATAGTCAACCTCCCACTCCTGAGATTTGCGGGGAAGCGAATCAGGCGGTGGACGTTGAACCTCGGTCCGGATGTGTCTACATCTAGAAGTTTACAAGCTAAAGCAAATGGGCCTAGGAAGAAAGAATGATCGAAATAGCCGACTGAATTGAGATAGGTGCAAGATTCACACTCCAGTAAAACTATCTATGGCGTTTCTGCCAGGGTATTATCCTCAACTGCTCGCCAAGACGCCTCGACCATTGAGCATTTCCTCGCTCCTACATCAAACCCAAGCCATGCTATTTCCGACACACCGACAAGACCTCAAAACTTTTTATTTCAATTCTGATGGAGTTGTCTAGTAGAAGAAGCCAAGGAGTTTGCCAGCAACGTGCTTGCGACGAGCCTCCTCGTGGTCCATGATACCGGCGGAGGTGGTCAGGACAACGTAGCCGAACTGACGAGAGGGCAGGAGCTGGACGGCCCACTGCTCAATGTCGGGGAGCTGGACGGGGTAGCGGGGTTGATGACACCGCACTTGTTGAGGCGACCGTTGAGCTGGATGACGATCTTGCCGGAGCGGTGGTCATCGACCTCCTCGAACTCGCCAATGTAGCCTGATAGCAAGTCAGTAGGTGATGTAGTGAAGATTTAAAAGCTGCCAAACACAAAGAAAAAGAGGAGTTTTGGAAACTTGTAAGATCTTCACATGTTTCAATGAAACAATCTTCAATATATCGGGCACTTAAAGGGCAGACGTTGTGGAGTGGGTTAAGATTCGAAACCGCCGCCTAGTTATCAGCCCGAATGATGCTTTGTCCTCCCCAGATCTTGCAAGTTTCCAAAACTCCTACCTTTCTTCATGATGGTATGAAGGCAAAAGACAAAACGTACCGTGCTTCTGCATGACGCTGAGGAACTTGACAATGACCTTGGAGCTAGGTCTGATCAGGACCTGGCGCTTACCGGCCTTCTCGGCGTTGTTGATGGCGTTGAGCGCATCGTTGAGGACGGAAGTCTTGACCATTTTGACGGTTGGTTGAGATTCTCAAATCGAGGAAACGTAGAAATGAGGTATCTATAAGTCGAAACTCTCTAAGGAAGCAAATTTCTCACCGCAACGGGATCCACCCAGCTGGAGAAATTTTGCTCCCGGAAAGAGAGAAACCAGTCAGCCACCAGTAGTCTTCGAGCGCAAAGAGTGCCCCCCAGGGGTTCTTAAGCCCGTGTCGTGATGAGAGAAGCGTATCACCCTGCATCTTTTGGCTTCTGTGTTCTCGGTCGCCATTTTGACCGAATTGAGAAAAGGTAGCCAAAGACGAGACGGTGATTGCTCTCCCAGACTAGCTGGGGGGCTGCAAATGAATAGAAAACAGCGAGCAGGACATACCTCGAGGTCGAATTGACGGCGTTGGTGAGGACAGGAGGTTGCTTCAGGATCGAGCTCGGCGCAAGAAAAAGACGGTGAGTTTTTTCGCGGATGTGCGCGCTTAGGGTTCTCATTATTGTGCCCTTATCAGTCACCTGCTGATAGTAACCACGCCCCACTTCATGCATCAGGCATTAAGGCAACTAGGGAATGTGAATGATCGTGGAAAATATTACAGCACGGCACAATTCAGCCTAAGCGAGAATATTGGCTACTCATACGTTTATTAATGTATCATTTCCTCTATACAGATTTTTCCATCACACTTCAATGTGAGAAAAGGGCAGGATTATACGGGACTTTCAGTGTCAAAAGGGATTCATCGCTATGTTTCTCTTGAAAGGGTTACATGACTTCTTGGGGCATACATGACGTTCGCAAAAATGCTAGGGAGAATCTTGGTCTAATTAAAACCGCCATAGAAAAAAGAAAAAAGAACAGGAGGCAAGGGAAATGGTGCTAGTAATAAAGTGGGAGAAGGGAAGGAAGGCCAGAAGATAAAATAACAAGGGTGAATGTGAAGGTGAAAGGTGATTCCGAAAAGGGGAACAGTGTACCCAGCGGATGCCTGCATGGTTGCGGTAGTGGGAATAGGGGAGGGATAGGGTAAAAAAGGTTGGGGAATCGGATCGTAGGGGCGTGATACTTTGGTCAAAAGAACATTGATCATATCAGGGTAGGGGGGTTTGCCATGAGTACCGACGTGCGATGCGCTCATGGATAGGAACAAGTAGCTTGCAACATGTACATGCTGATGTTCATTGCCCTCAGTGAACTGTACTCAAAGCAACAGCAAGGGTAGGGGCAACGGGCACGGCGTCACTTCCCATGCAGCACCTTTGGAAAGTGCTTTCAGTGCAAGGGGAGCCGTGTCCTAACAGCAAAAGGTTGTGTAGCATGGCCGGGTTAGAACGCGCTTAAGCCATGGCAGCCGCCGTGGACATGCTGACCTGACGCTTGACCTGCTCGCGTGTCCACCGAGCGGTGTCAATGGTTCGAGGGCTGTATTCCCGGTTGTTCCTAGTCTCCCTAACAAGCGCGGTGACCCATTCATTGCGGAAGAAGCTAGCGAACTCTCCATTAGGGAATGTATCTGCAAGATCACTGGAAGGTCGTTAGAAAAATGGTAAAAAGAAAAGGTAGGAAAAGAGAAGCCATACCCAAGGACGCCCATAGATGCCCTCATGAGACCCTCACTACGGCTCATGTCCTGAGAGATGATGTGGAGGAGCTGGAAAATTGACTCAACATAGGGCTGGAGCTGAGCGGCTGCGACAGTATTAGCATAAGTCAAGCGTGATCAATCAGATATCGCTACGTACCCTGGGGCTTGCCCTTGTAGGTCAGAAGGATACCACCCCAAGCATCCATGATGCCCTCACGAAGCGAGACAATGTAGTCAAGCATTTCCATAGTTACGTCGGTACTGGCTGTGACGGCCGAGGCCTGCTGAAGGACCTGGGCAACGACAGGCAAGTATACATCGAATTGAGTCCCGATAGCCTGGGCAATATCTCCAAAGGTTTCGAGAATCGCGGGCTTAAGCTGATTGGTAGCACTCTGTGACGCGAGGTTAGCCATTAATTCTTTCTAAATTCCGCGTCATCTCATCCTGGCTACTTACCCTCAAGTTGTTCAGCAGATAGTTCATAAAGGCATCGCAATAAGGCTGGACCTTCTCGTTCAAGGCGCGGGCGATATCACTGACCAGGCCAATGGCCATGGAGCAGAGCGCTGGCTCTTCCTGGTTGCCAAGCGCATTGTACAGGAAAGGAGTGAAGGATTCCATGTACTTGACAAACTCCTCCTCCAGAGCGCTGGCGATGGCACCCACAGTGGCGAACACGACGTCGGGAACACTGGACTTGGGGGAACGGTGGAAAGAACCTGGAGCATGACGTGCATGATGCGGTCGGCCTGGGGCTTGATCTCCGTTTCAAGACGCTGAACAATAGCCTGCCGACAAGTCAGTAATGGAAATTCTGCCAAGGCGCATCAGGAATCCTTACCAGGAGTACACTGGTCAATGAGGTTTGCACCTCCTCCAGGGTGATACGATCCTCGACACTGACAACTTGTTGCTGCATGGGGACGGTCTGCTCCAGACGCTGGATCATAACATCGGACAGTGTCGCGACCAGGGGCAGGCTGTCGTTGGCGGCGTTGGTGACGAACGAGTTGAGCACCTCATATCCAGCGGTGCGGAGCTGGTTGTCGGCATCCTGCCTCTCAGTGAGGGTAAGGAGGGACTTAACACTGTCCTGGAAGTGCTTCGACAGTGGGTTGGTGTGAGCACCGACATCACCAGCGAACCGATCGGCAACGTTCATCAAAGCCCAGCAGCAAGAGCTGGCGATCTTGGGGCTACTAGCAAGGCCGTTGAAAAGGCAAGTAATAAGGGGTTGAAGGTGCACGTCAGGGTCAAGGGTCTCGGAGCAGAAGTCACAAACGCGCCCGAGCGCGTAGGCCGTAGAGTCACGGACCTGGATGGAACTATCCTCCATCATGCTAATCAAAACACTCAGGGCCTGCTTGATCAAAGGCTCCAGAATCTTAGGATCGGGACCGTCCATAATAGCGCCAAATGCAGCAACTGCGGCATCACGGTGACGCCAATCCTCGTTGCGAATGTTCTCCTCGACGAAGGTCAGGACAGGCTGGATGATATCACCCTGCACGCACTGAGCGTAAAGCTGCAGGGCCTGGTAAGCTGCGCGGGAAATGTTGTACTCGTCGTCGGTGGCATCCTCATCTTGCTTGCACATGCATTGCAACAGGACAGGAACGACTTCTCTGCAGGCGACACGGGCAAAGTTGAAGAACGGGCGGATTTCGGAGGCACCCTCGGCTTGGGCCTAGAAGAATCAAGTATCAGTTGTGATCGGTACAGAGATATGAGCGGGAAAAAACGAACCGCCGCATTATCATCCTCAATGGCAATTTCCTCCTCGCAAACGGTGCACCAAAACTCAATGGCGAGCTTGGCAACGTCTTCCTCCTCGCTCTTCATGCCCATGATGCTCAAGCCAAAGAGAGCCTTCTCCATGTAGAAACGCATCTTATCATAGTATGAACCCATAATCCGGTTCAGGCAACCGAAAGCACCGGCCTGGACACGGAGATCATCGGCCTGCGTGGCCTCGCAAACCACCTGCATGATGTAATTCCGTTCGCCCTCGTTCTCCATGTTGGAACGCACAAAGTCCACCGAATCACTGAGGGCTTTGATGGCGGCATTGCGAATGTCCATGTTGGGCTCCTCGCGCCGGGCACCCTGGACAACGGCCGTCAAGATGGCATTAGAGTGGGCAGCCAAACTTTCCCGCAGCTCTGGATCTTGCGACTCGCAGATGAAACCGATTGTGATGAGGGAGGCTTGTTTCAGCTGATCGGTGCCGGTTGCAACGCTCTGAACCAGGTGGTTCATCAGCTCTGGCCATTCGTTACGGGGAAGCTCGATGGCGGCGATCGAAACGATGAACTGAGCAGCAGACTGGCCGGCCCGGGCATCCTTGGAAGCAAGAGTCTTGAGCGCCAGCTCCTTGACCTGTGCCTTTACCTCGGGGCTGATCCCCGAAATCCATCGCTCCTGTACCTCCCTTAACTTGGCGAGATCTCTGAAAGTGAAAGCGTTTTTCAAAGCCAGACCGGCGGCGGTTCTGATGTGCGGAGCGGCGCTTTCGTTCGCCAACTCTTGACCAAGGGTAGTGAGGTAACCGGCCTATAAGAAACACCAAGATTGATATTAGTTACTCGGATGTCGATGATCAAACGAGAGAGGGGGTAGGGTCGGCTGGACGTACGAAGTCAACCTCCGCCGCGTGGAGGAGTTGTTGTTCAGCATTTGTACGGGTCGTCGCATCTATTATAGAGTTAAGCAGGCAAAGGTCAGCCTAATGATATCTATGTAGATTTCGAAAGAAAGAAAACTCTTTCGTATAATACAGAGGGGTTAAGGGTGAGCAACGTACCCGGCGACAGGGTGCCCTCCAACACTTGAGTGACGTTCATGTTGCCTTAAACGGAATCGCACCCAGAATCACAGGGAAATAGAGGAGGAGAGGACAGGGAAAGGCGGGGAAAAGAGAAAGATAGGATCGCTTGTTGACTTGACCCAGGATGGGTTGTAAAGAATCGAGAGAGAAGACTTGTCCACAAACAAAAAGGAGTGTTTGGTGTGGACAGTTAAGAGTCAAAGCAGAAGGAGGAAAAAAAAACGATGTTGGAGGTTTAGATCAAAAAGGTTGTTTTTGTGGATATGACGAGGCATGCACCGGGTCGGAGAAGAGACCAGACAGCGGACCAGAAGGTGTGGTGAATGCACGCCAGAACAAGGGAGGAAAAGGGAGAAAAAGCTATGAACAAAAAACCCCCCAGGAACCTTTGATGACAGGCAGATGCTTGATGGGTAGTGTACTCTGTAGTGGGGTGGAGGAAGGATAGTTCTGGTAGGATTTGGGTTTTCCTGTGAGTTTTCTGGAGGATATAAGGCTGAGGAGAGAAGGTGAAGGCAACAGGAAGACGAAGGGAAGAGGATAGAGGGGCAGAAAGCTGATTTGTTTCTGTTTTGTCTTCGCCTCTGGGATATTTTCCTTTCTTTTGATGCCAAATGGTAATGGTATGGAGACAGATGATGCTAGACCAGTAGACTAAGGCTAAGGATAGATACTTGATCGTACTCTGGACTCTGTACCTACCTTACACCTACAGAGAGATCCGGTGTTCGTTACTGGATGCTGAGACGCACTTGGGGCTGCTGCCCGGAGCTGCCGTCAACGCTGTAGCCTACCATTGGGCGGCGACCGCCCATCCGAGAATGGAGCTGTCACGTGATAGCACATTTTACGTCCCTTTCAACACACCATGACAGACAGCAGCAGCAACAGTTTTAAATAGTTGCAGGGGAGGGATTAATATTACTTGACCGACAGTACTTTTGATTCTTTTTCTCCATAACCTCTAGAGAAAGAATCTCTTTGTATCCTATTTTCCGCAGGTCTACCAGGTAGGTCTAAAGTCACTTTCGTCATTACCGTACTTTACTCTCCTACCTTACTATCTCAGGTACTTACGTATTGTGGCTGCCCCTCCCTATTACATAACACTAGTAAACCCAAGGGGGGAAAATTCTTCCTTTGCTTGTTTTCATTTTGCTGCATTGGAGGATCATTTTCCACAGTGGTTGCGTTGGCCCGGGCGACCGATTCCCCCGTCAGGGCGTCAACCCCAATCAGCGCACAAATCCTCACACTAGTTGGACCTAGGACTGAAGCTTCAGTATGGATTGGTCTGGGATTTTGAAAGACATCCACTGGTCGATGGGGCTGAGAGGATTTTTGGATTGTTTCGAAGGAAAGAATTCAAACTCTGACTGTGGAGAGGTAAACACTGGACTAAACAGGACAACGGTGATTTTAAGAAAGAAAATATTGAATATGGTAGATAGGTTGGGATTATCGCAGTTCTCCCTACTCACAATCATACCGAGTATTTCGATGGATCATAGAATGTAGAATTTAAATCAGTACGACCTGATGGCTACTGATGTAACCAGGAATGCGTATGCGTCTCACGGTGAAACCATCCCTCATACTCTGTGGATTAACTAGTATGAAACATGAATTTGACTGGCCTTCTTAGACAGAACAGCCTCGCGAAGCTCTCATTAAAGTCATGACTATGCTATCTATTCACTCTCCTCATCCTCATCAGGCATTTCAGCATCCATGTCCAGGACTTCATACCGCAACCCATCGCCGTACAAGACGCAGATCGCCCGGCGACCTTTTCGTCCATTGACGTCGAACCTCAAGGGCCTGGCCTTCTGACCGGACGGAGAAAAGGCATGCTTGATGAGGCTCGCATGCGTGGAATGCGGCGATAACAAGTCCAGAGTCGTAGCATGTACTGTGGGTTGAGGTGAGGTAGAGTCCAGCAGTCTGTCGCTGTAGGTGATAAAGAAAGGAGACGGTGAGCTGAAGGCTCCTTTGTTATCGAACGTGGATGCCGGCTGAAACGGGATGTTCAGCAGATAGGCAGTTCCTTCTACTCATTCCGGGGTAGTTAGTAGTTGGCGAAATAAGCGTACGAGGTTGATACATACTGTCATTCGACCAAAGGAGCATCACGGTATCATCCTGCACGAATTGAATCTGGCCAATTTCTCCTTCCTGCAGATTCAGTGCTCCTATGCAGATTTCCCTGGTAGAACTAACTCCATTCTCGGAGTCTGACACGACGCGGTAGATGTAGACTAGAAGCAAAGAGTAAGCATTCATCAAAGCACATTGGAAGGCCGACAAACTTACGTAGATGATGTGACTTGATCGATCTCACGGCGATATAGATAACATTAACCGTCCCATCTTCGCTGTTCTAGCGTTGATCCAGTTAGCAGCAACGCATCTAGTCGAATCAATACCCTTACCTCGGAGCACATTGTGATATCAATAACCTCCTGGTCGGCGTCCGGATGAAGAGCGAGAGGTGAACGGTGCAAGATGCCTCTGCGTTGTGTTATCGCTATTTGCCCAAAGACCTTTTCAAACTGTAGTCCTAAGCGCTTTGTCAAATCATTGATCTTGGGAAGCTCGGGAGGGTTCTCATTATTTTGGCCCTGGTTCAGCTGTTCAAGAAGCTTTTTGAACGTGTCGTAAAAGGGCCGGTCATCTGCAGCCGTCCACTTGTCTGATGTAGTAGCAGAAGGCTTAGCAACAGGCACTCCCATCATGGGAAGCTGCTGGATAAAGTGCTGGAGTGTGCTCTTCGTTAGCGCGCCTCTAATGTATTTTAGAGTCTGTGGATAATCTATCATGTCTGTCTTCTCCATAAGCTCATCCAGAGTTTGTGACATGGGCTCCGCAGTCTGCATATCAATTTCATGGCGAAGCCACTGGGAGAAGGCGATGAACTGAGCCAGTTCCTCGTTAGCATTGATCAGGATCTGATGACAAAGGAGATGAAGACAATCAAGCGTCTCGACAATCGCATTGAGGTCGATTGTTTCTAAGCCCAGCACTTCGCTGAGTTTCTGGAATCGAGACAGGCCAATAAGTCGACTAAGAAGCACTTCGCATCGCTCAAGCGCGGGCAGTAGACACTCGTGCGTCAGCCGTCGGACGTTCTCATAGCCGCTTGAGACAGCCTTTTCCCACCGTTTATGACCCTGTCGCGTTGTTAACTTCATTTCGGGATTAGCACACGATAGGAATATACCCTTTCGCCGACAATATCGACCAAAAATTCCTTCAGCGGCTCGAAGCAGTCGCCCGTCACCACCAGATGGTAAGCGGCAGTGACAAAGTCGCAATGGCATTTCTCCTTCAGATCCTCATTGATACTGCGCATGTATCGCGCAGGCAGCTCCTGCGCATTCTTCCACTCAAGCTCAATCTGCCTCTGGACCTGACCGATATACCGAAGCAGATTCTGCAACTGGGTCGTCTTGTAGGCTAGAAGCGACAGATACCGACCAGATCTAGTGATAAAGCGAAGATCGATCGTGAGTAAATGCAGTCCATCAGAAGAGCCAGGAGTCGACGCGGACGCCAGCAACGCATGCGTTGAGCTCAGTGGATGCGACGCGTGCTGAAGTATCTTGCAAGCAGACGAACCGCCGTCCGATATCCCAATCTTAAACGAGCCAATCTCGAAGCAGTCAAAGATACGTAGATGGACAGTCCCATCATCAAACCCAACCAGAAGCACATCGACCGCATCATTACTATTTTTCGACGACGAGTGAAAGATCGCATCGATGGACGCCCGAGAGCTAAACACGTCATCACTAGCAAGCAGTCAACCACAATGAACCCCAAATCCATCTAGCAAAATACTCACTCGCTTCCCGTCGCAGGCAACGTACTCAATTTCGGCAAGGAGCTCTCAATATCCAGCAACGCCAGCTCGCGCGGCAAATCAGCCTTGAGCAGCGCCGCTGCCTTGGACGGCTGGGTATCCGGCGACAGCAGATCCGAGACGGTGAGTTGCCCCGCAGCCTCCTGCAGATGTCGCTGCGCAGCTTTGCTATCTGTGAAGTTGACTCCCCAGCCCAGACAGGTGATGCTGACGGGCTGAGCGTGAGCGCCCGGCTGAGCCGCAGGGTAATAGTGCACCGTTTTACCACTGTACGAGCTGATCAACCGGACGGTGTCATCTGCGCAAGCAACCGCCAGTAGATTCCCTGCGCCTTGTCAGCAAAACATCCTATGGTTAAAAGTAACAAGAGACAATGACCATTATCCTTCCACCTCACCGCTCGGATCTCCCCGTCTGCTTCGTCCTCGCCCAGATACGGATCTCCCTTGAATGACCCCCGAAGACCTTTTGCCCATTCAGTCGGAAAACGCGTAACTCTTCATCCTCTGAGACTAGGGCGATCAGGTCCATCGTGGGACAGTATGTAAGCGTGCTTGCCTTGCATTTTGCCGGCAGTGACTTTTCACCCACGGGCGTGAGCTGTGGCTTGAAGACCTCTTCAGCCATGGTTACAGTATATTTTAATCCATCCTTTGATAATACAGAAGGATTGGGTAGGGCGGGGATAGTAGGTCGTCAGTAACTATTTCAAGACTGTTCCTGTAGTTGTTGGAGGGATGCTGGTGTGGATAATTTACCGACGATGCTTGGCACGCGTTTGTCGCGTTGCTTTGCACTTCAGCCAGGGAACTAGTAACTCAACCATAACGGATATTTCATCGGGACCGAAGCGAGTATCGGCCATTCAGCTCAGAAGAGAAGCTGGGACGAGAAGATTGTGGCATTTTACTCCTGATACTGTGTATCAGATAATCTACTAGTGTTTCAAAATTCTCTATCATCGTCAACGCCCAGACGAACTATATATTTCCTCCATCCAACTTAAGTTCTGACCTGTCTAGGTAGGCACGGTGTTTATTTCTCTTATATTCGGAATGCTGCATATTTAAAGACACTGATCATTAAATCTATTTTTCCTGCGTGTAAAAAAATTGCCAATTGCTACAATGCCTGCAATGTCCACCCTCAAACAA